TGGAGAGCTGAGGTGTGTAGATTCTGCTATTAGGTCTGTTCTAGAAGATATTGACAGCAAATTCATTTTAAAAGAGGAACAGAGAAACGCGATCAAGGCTCATCTTCTTATTCTAGGCGTGCAACTGCACGCTTTGATTTTTGTGGACAACAACTATGCGTCGCTTAACATACGTCACGCACTCCGTTGCTCTTATTGGTTGTAGGTCTATCCAATTGAGGGCAGAGGCATTTATTTTCCTGGTTCGTTCGAAACACGCCCCATAATCACAGCTCTATGGAGCAGTAGCAGACTCATATTCTGACTAGAATTGAGTCGGACTACGTCAGGCTAGCCTTTTACAGCTGGTTTTTCTATGTCCGCTTCTGTCTCCTTGAACCCCAGTGGGCCTCAGCAGATGGCCGCTCACACTGAGCCTGGTTCTGCTGGAGGTTTCTTCCTGTTAAAAGGGAGTTTTTCCTCTCTACTGTCGCTACAAGCATGCTTAGTTTGAGGGATTGTATTTGAGTCGATGCAATCAACTGGTTTTCCTTAGATAGAAAACTTTGAATCAATTTGACTGTATAATCTGGTGAACTGTAAAGTGCCTTGAGATGATTTGCGTTGTGAATTGGCACTATAGAAATAAACTGTATTGATTTGAATGAGATTTGCATAACAGAGGTCCTAAGTTTTGCTTTCTCTGGTCAAGTAGCTGACAAACTGTCGGAATGTAAGGCGTTTGGTTGAGAGTGAGGCATGATTAACATTACCAGATATTGCCAGAAAAAACCTGGGCCGGGGTTTTTGTAACTTAGCAATAACTAAGAAGATGACATCACGTAAAGTCTCAGCAACAGCAGATGAAATGTAAATGTTTTCCAAAATAACACAAATGAACTGTCTTAATACATATTATGGATGAAAACCTGCGGCCAAAAGTTTAATTTCTGGCTTGTCCATCACCTGTCATGAATGAAACCTGTTAGTAGCAGACACTGCTAATTCACCTTTTTTACTTTTGTTGCTTTTGTTGCAATGGATCATTATTTATACCTAGAACTAATTAGTAAAGATAATGAACTAATCCGTTAATGAATTTAGCGTTAATCAGTAAAAAAATACAAATTTTCATAGCAATCACGAGTCTGGGAGCGGCCATTTTTGCCCAAATATAGTAACACGTCACTCCTGACATCACAGTGCAGTAAGCCTAGCGCCATACTCCCCGCTTTAGAAGAAAAATCAATGGGAACTATTAGACAGATATGCAATCGACAATTGTTTATGATTTCCAGAGAACTTCGCCTTTGAAATTTATTCAGTAAAAGTTCAGTCTGTGCCCAGAAGAAGTAGTGAAGTCCAGAGCAAAGAAACTCCTTTGCTTTCTGCTGTGCCTGTGGCAGACAGCCCAGCTATTTTTTTTATAGAAATTTTCTAAATTTTGGAACAATATGTCTGATAAAGAGTACATTTATATGAATGTTTAAGCCAGAATGATTAGACAGTTAAATATGATTTCCCTACTTCAAGGTAAACTACTACAGGTGCCTATAAGAATTAGGACAACATTTTGGTAAGAAGAGAAATGAGAACAGCTCATCGGGGCTCCTCTTCCCTCCATAAAAGACGTTTCATCCCAGCACTGCGTGTCCTGAGCCTGTAACATCATCAATGACCCCTCACACCCCCACCATGGACTTCACAGCATTCAATGCAGGTCCAGCAGATTCCAAAACAGCTTCTTTCTCACCAGCATCAGACAGTTGAATGTTGAAAAAACTCTAAAGAAAAGAAAAGTTACAAAGAAAAATCATTTACAGTGGATGAAGATGGCATCAAAACAAACCATTTCTAAACAAAAGGCAATGGCTGCACTTGAACCGTTTTCTGCATTGATTATCGAACTTTTTGGAAGAGGAAAAACACACTCTGACATCAGTGATGCTTTGAGCCGCCATGGAGCTCCACATTACTCGTTTCCATTTTGGTAGTGCTAACTGAAAAAGTTCTTCTTCTTGTGGATTGTAATGGCGGTTGGCAAGAAATTGAAGGCGTACATTACCGCCACCTACTGGTAACTAAAAAAGGTATGTGTTGGGAGTTCAGGTCTTCACTTCTGGTGCTGCCATAAGGTCCGTTGAATTAACAACAAAATAAAAGTTTGTCTTTGATTTAACCATTGCAGTTAAAAAAATCCTAAAACTTTCCCTTTTTTTCATTTTTGCAAATGCCGTTTTTCTAATTTCGTTTTAAAAACGGAAAAACAAAAAACCACATGCTTGTTTTTTTTTTTCGTTTTTGTTTTTAAAACGAAAAAACCAAAGAACGAACCATACACGGATTGCAGACATGGGCAATGTGGAGTCAACAAGTCATCTCCATGTCATATATTTAATCTACCCAGCCAATTAACCAGGTGAGTCCAATCTGCACAGGTTAATTCACGGTGAAGATTGGACTCAGCTGCTTCAGTGGCTGGGTAGAACCAATACATGACATGGAGATGACTTGTTGACTCCACATTGCCCATGTCTGACGGATTGTATACACTCTGTGTTTATAAAATTACAATAAATGTTGTCTATCCATCCCATTATCTGACATGAGTGGGGTCACTAGGGATGCTGGTGCCTATCTCCAGCAGTCAATGGGTGAGAGGCGGGGTACACCCTGGACAGGTCGCCAATCCATCGCAGGGCAACACAGAGACAAACAACCATTCACACACACCTGAGGAGAATTTAGACAAGTCAATTAACCTGTTTATTGTTAGTGTTCATGTTTATTGTTATTTTTCATTTTATTTCCACTTATGTCTTTCAATACATGAACCTGTACATTACTTTGTTGTTGAAACTGATCTATAAATAAACTTTATCAAATGATAATACCACTATATGTAGACAGCCAGATGCAAAGGAGAACCGATAAAACTGAGAAATGCTTTAATCACAGAAAATAGAAAAAGATATTTAAATGTTGTTAAAGCATAACGCTGGTGAAGATTCTGAGTCATCCAGGTCTTAGTCATTACAAAAATGTTTAAAAAAACAAAACAAAACAAGAACGATGGACTTTGTTTTCCAAGTTTGAAGATCTTTTTCTACCCATCAAGAAGTTTTTTCCTTTTAAAATGTCTGGATAAGAGGGCAGTTCCAAGCTTTATAGTGTAGCCAAACAAAGCTTAGTTATGGCTTAGAAAACATGCAAATTGTATCGAAAGAAGAGCTCCACCCCTTAGTAATGGGGAGTTGTTGAGGTCGTTGTTGACCTGCATTACCTGATACTGGCCTATGCTTCTGAAAAGGGAGTTGTTAGAGTCATTTTGGTCCCCTGCATAGTGATGAGATTGAGAGTTGATTCCTTCCAACTGTCATCTCTACCCCCATTGCTATGCAGGGGACAAAACAACTCGCCTGGATGGACAGGCCAACCTGTCCATTACTTTGTTTTTGAACAACTTTGGTGTAAAAGCATCACAATTGATCCAAGCCAGTAGGGGAGAAGATCATACAGTCATTAAGGGGTAGAAGGCAAAATCTGGATGCTCAGGTAGATTAACCCACCTTTTCTTTCTTTCGTCTTGAGTTTCTTGAATTTTCAATTCATGTTTCGTAGATAGAAATTCATCTTTTAGAATGGTCTGGGATCATATGTGTTGATGATCATCACCCCTTGTGGTCTGGAGCACTTCCTTTATGCACAGCTCGTTTGCAACTTTTCTTTTGAAAAAATGTTGTAGAATTTGTACTTTGCATGTGTTTTATGTGTTTGCAGTAGATTTGTGTCTGCAGTGCATTAATTTCCACTTTGCTGTGGGCTTTTCTGTAATTGCAGAATGGGTCCTTTGCAGTGTTCTTCCTTTGCAAGTCTCTTTGGTGTTTATGCAGTTCCTTTTTTGTTTGCAAGGCTAATATATGAGTTTTCCTTAATTGTGTTTATTATAATTTTTGAGTTTGCAGGCCTGGTTTTCAAGTTTCAATTAAGAAGCTGAATCTTTGGGTTTGCGAATCTCATTTTTGTGTTTTTAGGACTTTTTATCTTTAATATTGCTGTGGATTCATGGACGTGCTTTTGACCACCGTGTGTTTTGTGTCTTTGCATGCATTATTTCATTAATCTCTTGCATTTAAATAAACAAAAAACGTGGGCTAATTTCCTACAGTCAAATGAATAAACTGATAAGTAGTCTGTGGCTTTGAAACATCTGTTCTGCCAAATAGTTTCTTGTAGCTCTTAATGGCAGCTCATTATATTTAATCACTGTGAGATCCTGCAGATCCAGCATGAAGGGAAAGAAAATGCATCATTTTCTGTACTGCTAAGTTTGTGCACATGCATCCCATATGTGTTGGAGCTTCGGGTTATGAAATAAAGACATTAGTGTGTGTAAAGCCCCTCCATCTCCCTTGCAGTTTCCCCTCTTCTCCTTATTCCTGTCATTTCCCCACTGCTTTTTTCTGTAATCCCACCCCCTCCCTTCGTTGTCTCCAAGCTGAGACAGGGAACTGGGAGTAAAATATGCGGAGTCCCTCCCAGGCTCTCCGCTGCGCAGCTTATTGAGGAGCCGTCACTCTGCTGACATGAAAACGCGCAAAGATCCAGCGCATGCAGCTTCCGTGCGCAATGATCTGCACACCGTCCGTTTTTTGTTTTCTAGAAGGGGGAAAGAGCACATGTGCAAACAATTGACGGTTGCTGGACAAGAAAAGGCTGGATGAGAGGGGTTCATTTCATTGGATCCTGACGCAGCTGATCAGATGTTGCCTACCTGGCGCTCTTCCCTGCGCCACACTCCTCACCCTCTGATTGGTGGAGATCTTTATTTGACTCTTGGGTGTTTTAAGGCAGGGCTAGAACCAAAGTGTGGGTTGGGTTACAGTGGCACTTAAAACAAGCTCTCACTGACTTAGTGTACACCAGCACTCTGCAAGTGGAAGGTGTAGTTGCACTTCTTTTTTCCCTCCCAGCCATTCCACTCAACTTTTCCATTTAACCCCCCCCCCCCCCCCCCCCCCCCCCCCCCACCACCTTTCCTCAACTCTGTGTGAGGTTGGAGCCATGGCTCCTGGGGCGCACTGGGTGGTTAGACGGGTGGTGCTGCTGCTTCTGCCAGCCTTGGTGATCTGTGAAACTCTGCCATCCAGCTGGCTGCCAGGGAACTATGCAAACACCACAGAAGATGCACTGAGATTTCTCAGTGACTACAACAGCACTGCAGAGGAGGTTCTCTTCAACAGCGTGATTGCAAGCTGGAACTATAACACCAACCTTACTGAGCACAACTCTAAGCTGCAGGTAGGAGAGTTGATAGCCCCCCCTTTCTATTGCATGCATTTCAAGCACTGGGAAAGTTTTAGGTGGATGTAAGCTCTGTTAGACATGATGTTAATATTCCTCTCCCTCCAGCAGAATTCTGCTCAGTTAACCTGCACTCTAACACATTCAGCTCTGCTTGCATTATTAGATATGAAATCAGACTAGATTGCTTGTGCAGAGAACAGCTGCTGCTTCCTTTCATGCATTATTAGGACTGTTCTTATGGCATTTTTTTATTTGGCAGTATGTAAAGACTGTATTCAATGTTTCTAGAAAAATAGTTTCCTGTGATTAAATAAATGTGTGTTTAAAATAAAGTTTTCCTTGCAGCACCTCAGAGTAGAGTCAAAGCCCTAAAAGTTGTAAAAAAATTCATTAGGTATGGATGTTTCAGAATGTGGTTCAGCAGGAGCTTTAAAATGCAAAATGCTGAGAATGAATCCAAGTGAGTCCAAGCAGCTCTGCATCTTGCAGATGGATGTTTTCACAGAACAAGATTAAAGAAGAATTTCTCTGCAAACTGTCATTCTACGTTCAAACACAAGATTTGGGGCTTTTTCCTGAAAATTTAACTTTCATCAGAGACACATTTTTTTCTTGGAGCCAGCTGAACATGATGCAAACTCAAAAATGTCATTCAGAGTTTGCTTGTACTTCACTGGGGTTTCATTACATTGAATAATGATAAGTTGCACAGAGCAGGCAAATGCTGCAGCTTTACCTTTGGGGTTGATATGAAAATTTCAACTCATCATGAGACCAAAATAATTCTGAGTAAAGGAGTGACTCAACCTTAAACCTGACTCATAATGCTGAGTTATCTAAAAAATTCGGAACAAACAACTTTTGGTCAAAATCCTTAGCAGAAAGCAACATATTTGTGGGATCAAATTCCTCCTGCTTTCACTTCCTGTTGGGTATCTCCCCCAAGTTCTGTTCTTGGACAAATTAGTTTATTGGTTAATAAACATTAGTTTATTATATGAATCATTATTTAGCTGTCTGCACCAATTTCAAGTAGTGAATCTAGATCACTTTGTGATTAACAAATGGTTTTCCGTAATAGACTGCCTGACCTTTTTGAATGTCAGTATGTTTTTCTTTACTCCACAATGTTTGAAAAACCATCCTAACCAACTGATTTTCATTACATTCTCAGATCTATTGAAAACAACTGATGTTACTATATTAATCAATGGGATTTATCCTTTTCTGTTATTGGAAAAATGTAGGCTCCTTTATGTCTTTTAGTTCTGCATAACATTTTGTTCTTTACCCATAATATTATATTCATCTGAATGTCAGAAAACCTTGAACATTAAGTGTTTGCTTAAAGCTAATTTGCCTTAACAATCCTGCCAACCTTTTATACTCCTGCTCATATAACAGTTAGGTTAAGGAGCATTTAATGGAGGTATAATAAAACTGAGAACCTTGAAAGTTGAAATAAATCTGTAAAAAGCTTCTGCATATCTTGAATTTTATTTTATGATCTGCTAAAGTAATGACCAACATGTATGGCTATAGGCTTTCGTGATGCGAATAGTTGCATAGAGGGGCAGCTGGTAGGTGGAGATGGACTAAAAGAGCCAAAAGGTCAGAGGTTCTTTAATCACTGAGGTCCTTTAGGTCGAGCTTGAAGGGAAAGCCACTTTTTCCAACGGCTGCAGCCTGTTATTTCAGGGATTGTGGGAGAGAGGCAGATAAGGGGCTTTAAAAAAACGCTGGAAAAACAAATCTACTGTCCTATCTGCTGCGGTTTGTCTTTGCACAAGTTTTTTCCCCCCTTTGTCACATTGTGTTGAACAATGATGACAACTGACTAACAAAAGAGTTGTTGTCTGTGATGGTACCATATGTTAGCAATTTGCTTAATGATTGTCGTTTAGTTTTGAGGCTTTTTTTATGATGTTAGAGGAAGAAGAACATACTGATTTCTAGCACATGTTCTGAACGAGCCAGGTTCACAGTTCTTCCAGCACTGGCATTATATACTGAGAAAGTCCATGACCTTTAATAATGCTGTAAAAGAAAAGCTTTATAGATTGACTGAGGGTATGCACTGCAAAGACAGAAGCCTTTTCTGACAGGAAAATCTCCTTTCTTTTGTCAAACACAAACATTATTGATCCCATGGGAATCAATCTACAGGAACAAACTCATGAATTGCTGTTTTAAAGCTGGAAAAGGTCAATAAAAATGCAGTCAGAAGCTCAGTTTGAGACATTGCTCATATGACTGAGGCAAGACAATATGGAAACTTGAATGACACTCAGTACGTGTGTCACTGTTGTAAACCATCATAGTTTAGTACAACTTGGTTTAATAATTCATTTCCTCACCTTTGCCCCAATGTGACAAAACTTTAACTCTGGTAAAATCTTTGCTGCCCTCAGAACTAGTGAGTATTTAGTGCAACCAAATGCTTTGAGATTTCACTTACATTGCAAAACATAAAGAATCACTTCATTCTCTGAATTTTAAAGCCTTCCATATGTTGACAAGTTATCAGAATCAGAAATACTTTAATAATCCCAGAGGGAAATTACTTTTGTTATATGCTCCAGTTATAGTTTTATATAATATATACACAAATCCAACTATACAATATAATAAAGATAAAAAAATAAGAATAAAAAGAGATAATATATATATACATATAGCTCTTCTGTATATATATCTACGGAAGAGGATTAGGGCCACTGGAAAAAAAAAAAAAAAAAGGTTAACTGATTTTTTTTTTTTTTTTTTTTATTTCAGTATAGTATGGGAAAAAAGTCAGAATTCTGACTTTAATCTCAGAATTCTGAGTTTTTTCTCAGAATTCTGACTTTTTTATTGTCAGAATTCAGTCAGAATTCTGACATGTTAAACTGAAATAAAATTTAAAAATCAGTAAACTTAGTTTTTTTTTTTCAGTGGCCCTAATCCTCTTCCGTATATATCTGTACGTATATCTATGCATATGTAAAAACTAAATCCAAATAAAGTGAAAATCCAAGTAAAGTGATAAAAATCATCTCACAAACTGGAACTGTCATTAAAACATGAAAATATATTCCAGTAACATAACTGAAAAAGTGAAAGTTTGTCTGAAACAAAGCGATATTTCAAAGTCTCTTTTTATTAATTTGGCCACTAGCTAATGGGGGGAAGAAGTAGAAGTAAATGTACTGCATGTGTACATCTCCTTTCCAGGTATGTGGAACACTGAAAGCTCTTTACATTAGAACTACATTGACCCAATCTCACTCACTAATGCGAGCACATTCGTACACCCGTTTCCTGATCCGATGGCATTTAGGGTGCCTTGCCCAGGGGCACATCAACATGTGACAAGGGGAAGTTTGAATGAAACCCACCACCTTCCATTGCAGACTACACCACCTACAGAACACTTTTCATACAAATAATACTCTATAATTACTCTACAATGTTTAGGTAAAGTGCAGTGATGGGTGCTTATGAAAGCAGGTATTTGTATACTTTGGATATGTTCTAAGTCCTCCTCAAAGCAAAGGGAGTCAGAAAGTACACTAACTGTACATATGTTGGACTTGGAAATGGGCCTGAAACCTCTGGAGCAGGCTGATGCAGCCTGTGTACAGCCAACCTCTATAGCAACATCTAACAGGGGCTCAGAGATGCAAATGAAAGATTTCACAACTTCAAAGTACTGCAATAATTCTAAGTACTGCAAACTCAAAAATTAGACTAAGTCTACATTCACACTGCAACCTGAAGTGACCCGAAACCGATTAGTTATTTTTTATTTTTTTATTTTTTTTGCCATCTGTATCTGATCATTTCACGGCAGTTTGAACAACACTGATTTCCTTCTTTTTCAAATACGCCTCCGACCAATTGGATATGTGATCTAAATCTGATAAGATCAGAACTTTTCAAATATGACCTGTGTCTGTACGTCATTAAAGGAAAGGTCTGGTCAGCAAGGAATAATCTAAGGATCATTATCTATACCTAAAACTAATACCATCATGGCTATTTAATGAATTTAGCTTTAATCAGGAAAAAAAATGAAAACGGTAATTTCTGTCATGATCACTGAGTCCATTGAAATTCACCAGAGCTATAGTGAAACTGACAATGCCCACGTGCATGGCAGCTGGATGCTGGAATACATCGGGGAAAAGTGAAAAAAAAAAAAATAATGTTATTCCACCTTTCTGATTCCTGATCCTCCACGGACGGGTTGGTCGTTGGATCGCCAACTTGAAGAGGGAGGATTTGCAATCGAACTTCTGGCCAGAGAAAAAACCCGTAATATGTAGCCAACATTTGGAAGAAGAATGTTTTCAAGATGATTTGGATAAAAGCGCGTTGTGACAAACACCAGATACAGCACTGGGACTTGATCAACAGCCGATACCTCACAGTGACGTCACTAACCAGTAGGTGGCAGTAGTGTTCTTTGACAAACATGGATGCCTCCAGTAAAGTTGGGTGTACTTGGAAATGTGAACAACCCACAAAACAGCTGGATTTCTCAAATAAAAAAAAAAGAATAGAACATTATGGCCTGTAGTGTGAACAAAGCTTTACACACAAAACACATGCAAAGGTAAAATGCTGTGATCATGGAAAACGATTAGATGCAGAGAGCAAAAAAACTTTTCGTACAAAACCTGCTGCAAACAAATAAATAATGCTAACACACAGAATACCTAAAAATGAAAACTGCTGTAAGTTAAAGAAAATGACATGAAATTTAATGCTGTAAACTGAGTAGATGGTTGTCTCCTCCAGTGGTCTAGAACATTTCCATTATGCAAAACTAGCTTTTTAGCATTTCGTTACTTGCAGATGTTTTTGCTATTTGCAGTGTTTTCTTTTTGCATGTGATTTATTTGATCTTTTTTTGTTCTTTGTTTGCATCCTCTGTTTGCACTATTTTTTTATTTGCAGCATGGATCCACTTTGCTATTCTTTATTTACTGCAATGGGAGCCTTTCTCAGCTGCATTTTTGCTAGCATCTTTTTTGTGTTTGTCTGTGAATCTAGGTTTAGCTTTACTTTTTTAACTTTGCTGTAAATTGATGCATTTGTAGTGCTTTTGCCCCACTTTTATATTCCAGGTGAAGGGGCTCAACTGTTAAGACGCATGTCTTCTCCATGACTTTTTATGCTACATATTTTCAGAATGGAAAAAGTTGGACTTATTGAAATGAACTAGATTAACTTTTACAATATTCCAGCTCAGCTTATTTACATATATAACAGTTTTTATATTTTTTTGTCTTTTCAAAGCCTCAGAAACATTTAGTATTAATAAGATTTAACATACTCTGTAGGCCTGGGGGGGGGCAGTTGGGATCTCTGTTCCCATCCATAGAGATGTCTGTGGCATGCACTCACTTAACATAGACCTACATAATCCTACAAATACATGATATTTACAGTTGATTTATTAAAAATGCTTTTCAGTAAAAGTCAACAGCAATGACTCCAATAACAAACGATAATTTTATTCAAAATGTATTTATTAAAAATGCTTATCAATTCCTTTAATGAATGAATAGCACAATGAAAGAAATAATGTCTCATCTAAACATCCCTCACTTAACTATAAAAGTTAACAATAACTCTCAACTCCCAATAACAGATGACACTCAGCCTCAGCAATGAACCAAATAATGTCTGTTCTGCAGGCTATTGGAAAAAATAAATTAACAAATGAGCTAATTAACAAAAAATACCTCGTGTGGAAAAAATAACTCAAAATGTACCAAAAACGAACAAACATATCAATAGACTATCTTTACTTTCGGAGTCCAGGTGGCTTTTCAGATCCCTTGCACCTCCATTGGACACCGAGACATATGTGCCTGCTTTGCACACTGTGCACAAGGCCTCCCATTTGTCTCGACCCGGTCTGAAAGCGGGGAAACTCTTTTGTAAATCGTCGGTAAACAAACATTTGCGCTTTGGCATGTTTCTGGCGTACTGACAGCCACGCTACATATCTTCTGATTAAGAACAGGGCTGCCCGCACTGACGCGGCTCAGGGATTACGTCACACGCAGCGTCGTGCGCAGTGCCCTAGTGCCTGTAAATTTAATGGTCCAATTAAGGTAATTTAAAAAATCAGGACATTTCCTCACTTTCTCAAAAAAACCCGGGACGTGAAATATGGACATGTCTCAGGAAACACAGACGTTTGGTCACCCTACTATAAAGTCCAATGCATTTTGGCCTTGATATACACACCTCCGTAATCACAGCATTTTCAAGAACTATGGTTCAACATGTGAACTATTTTTAAATGTAGTTCAACATAAGTTAAACCAGCATTTTACCCTTAACGATGCAGTTATCACAGTATTTAGACTATGCTGGTTCAACTGTAGCACTTTTATAGGAGAAACTGCAGGGATTTCCTTCTGCTGTCCTTTTGCTGCTCGATTTCACACGGATGGATGGAATAAAGGGAAAATTCTCCAAAATATGTATGCATGTTTTATAGATCTGAATTTTGTGTGTCATGAATTTTGAGCTTTGACCCTACTGCCAACTTTCAATATGAAAAGTTTGATCTCATGAATGTCAGTTGTAACGTAGAAGCATTATTCTCTTTATCAGATGACTCATTCACCCCCGGGGTAGGAGGGTGTTCATCAAACATGTTCTTTAAAAATAAATTCTTGACTAATCCCCCCCCCCCCGTTCTTCTCCACCACTCCACATTATAGTAGTGAATTGGCAACAGGTTGGTGATACGATAAGCATAGGATAAATGTGTTGCCATACGGCTAATCCTAATGTATCATAATACATTAACAAAGATGATATGTTGTAATTTTTATAATACCATAGCTCTCGAAAATCTAGCAAGTTCTTGTTGCTGCTGTGCTGGAGCTGATGCATGATTAACTGACTCCTGATGGTTTAAGAGTTATATAAAAATATGACGACAAGGATGTTTGCCTAGAAATATCCATTCAGCTGTATTTGTATTGGTACTAATATCGCAATATCTGACAGATCTTTTTTCATTTTTCTTACACCCCTAACCGTACTTTAAAAAAAATAAGATTTGAAAAGGTAAAATGTTATGGAAGCCAAGGACGGTTCTATTGCCTTCTTGAGATAATGACATAACTATCTCGTTATCACGGTTAAACCATTAATGGTTTTCTCAAGATAACAAGATAATTATCTCGTTATCACAAGGAAACAGTTTTTGATTTCTTGAGATAACGAGATGATCAACCTGTGTGAGAAATGAATGAGGCTGGCAAACAGCTCTGGATTCCCAGTCCATCCATGTCTGCGGTGCCCGTAGATATGCAGTACTGCATGTGCTCAAATAATCAGTTTTTTAGTTTCCTTTTTGTTTTCACTCATTGTCAGGTCAAGGTGGATGATTTGATTGCATGAAATACAGTATAAACAAATCTAACAGTTTTTTTTTTTTATGAAAATCCTAAATCTGGACTTATTTTGAAGGTTAATGCTTCTTATAGCCTGGTTCTGCTGGAGGTTTCTTTTACTGTTAAAAGGGAGTTTGATGTTTAAAACTGACTTCTGGTCTCTCCTGTCAAAAGGTAGAGGCAAGCCTCAAAGAACAAGCCTTTGATGAGGCCTGGGGAGGGAAGGCCAAAGAGATCTTCTCTGACCAATTCCTAGAATCTCTCCCTAAAGAAGTAGACAAGAAGCTTATCAAAAAGCTCAAGACGCTGGGAGCAGCCAACCTTCCACCGGCTGAACGAGAGGAGGTTTAGTAGTTTTAATGTCCTAAAAATGTACATTCAAAGATTTCTGCCATGCTTCCTGTTTGGACTTACAGATCCTGCTCATCTTTTGTCTTGTTTTATAGTATAACACCATCCTGAGCAAAATGGATAGTGTTTATTCAACAGCAAAGGTGTACCCGCAGGAAAATATAACCTGGAGTCTGGAACCTGGTGAGTAAATGCATCCGGTAGCTTAAGGGGCAAGATCCATGAATTGTATAGATGTTAATGGCTCTTGGTAGGAAACAAAGAACTCCACATAGGGGAAAATCTTGTTCTCAAAACAAGTGCAAGAGCTTCAGATTTGATCTGTTTTTGGAAGCAACAGGATGGGCACCATTCCTAAGAGTTTCAAAAGGAAGTATTGAGGATGTATCCAGTGTGCCGTTTAAAACAATAAGGAATCTGTATGGCTGCGAAGCTACAAACATTGGGAAACAATGCTCTTTTGTGTTTGGTAGCTACGACTGCCTAATGTAGTTGTGAGGAAACGCTTAACAGCGCGCAGAGGGAGAGTGATAAAAACAATCACCAGGGAGAATTTGTGGTAAACTGAAATGAGCTCATTACTGTTACGATCACAGATGCCATCCACGCTGCAGACAGGGTTACATAAACCACTTTCATCCTCTTTTTTTTTTTTTTAAGAATGGATTTAGAAGAGGTGTTTGTACTTCTCTTACTAACTGAAATTTAACCTAAACCAGATGGAGAGCATGCACTCGTCTCGGAGAGCAGGAAATTACATAAGGAACTTTGCAGCTTTTGCTTGTTTTGATTGTTTGCTCTTCTGTGTCAATCTAATTGTTGAAAAACTGCCATTTGTTCTGAAGAACTCACAGAAATTATGGCTAGCTCCAGGAGTTACCAGAAGCTGCTGTTTGCCTGGGAAGGCTGGCGCAATGCATCGGGTGTGCCTCTGAAACAGCTTTATCCAAGGTTTGTGGAGCTTAGCAACAAGGCCGCTAAAGCTGATGGTAAGAACTGTCATTTGCAACAGAATGAAATATGAAAAGACCATTGAGGAAGATGCAAATGTGACGGTAATTCAAATGTTAAAATTGTATTTATCCTCAGGTTTTAAAGACACCGGTGAGTACTGGCGCTCCTGGTATGAGACTGAAACCTTTCAGGAGGACTTAGAGCAGCTGTACAAGACGATTGAACCTCTCTACCTCAACCTGCATGCCTTTGTACGACGCAAGCTCTACAACTTCTATGGTCCCAAATATATTAATCTGAAAGGACCCATTCCTGCTCACCTGTTGGGTAAGATGCTCAGCTTTATATCTTAATGCATGCACCATTCACAGTTTTCTTATTCAAACAAAAAAAAAAACAGATAAGCTTTGCTCTGTAAATACGCATATTAGTTTCTACATTAAAACAATTTTCAGATAAACATTTCTTTTAAAGAAAACGTCCAGTCAGCAAGGAATAATCAATGGATCATTATCTACACTTAAAACTAGTACGTTTATGGTGATTTAATAAATTTAGTGTTAATCAGGAAAAAAAATGAGCGGCCATTTTTGCCCACATATAGTAACAGCTCGCCCCTGCCATCTTCCGGCAGTGACGTCACGGTGCGGTAAGCCTAGCGCCATTCTCTCCGCTTTACAAACAAAATCAATGGGAACTACTAGACACATCTGCGATCAACAACAATTTGCAGACGGTCCCTAACCACTCGCCTGGCCGCTGCCTGCGAATAGAGATCAATGTAATACATCCAGCTCGGAGAACGGCTCATTTTTCTCGAAAGTAACGCTTTTTGATTCTTGTAATACGTAGTCTGTGCTATCAGGACATGAAAGAGGCGCCATTTGTATTTCAACAACGATAATTATTGATCCCGGAAGTTCGAATCTGTGAATATCTTTCTAACTTTACCGAAGTAAGTTTTTGCGTTCTCACGCAAAAGGTTTTCTGTGGGAACGCAAAAGAAAAAAAAATTCCCCATGTCCCCTAGGGGGCTATGTAATAATACATTGGGTAAAAGTTAAAAAAATTGATTTCACCTTTCCGGTTTCTGATTGGTTGAATTGCCAACTTGGAGAGGGAGGATTTGCCATCGAACTTCTGGCCAGTGAAAAAACAGGTAATATGTAGCCAACATTTGGAAGAAGAATGTTTTCAAGATGACTTGGATAATAGCGCGTTGTGACAAACACCAGATACAGCACTGGGACTTGATCAACAGCCGATACCGCACCGTGACGTCACAAACCAGTAGGTGGCAGTAGTGTTCTTTGACAAACATGGATGTCTCCAGTAAAGCACATTCAAATGAAAATTACTATTAATTAAAAACACTTTTCATTTATTGAACAGGTTGTAATCATTTCATATTTAAAGTACTTTCAGGAGTTTGAATTCTGAGTATGACCAGACTGTTACTTTAATATTTGACAGCCCAGTAGGAACACTTTTAACCACTGAAGGAAATGCCTTCTTGCAGGTCCCCCACTGTAAGTCAGAAGTGCTTTTTAAGAATGTTTCCATCCTGACCTACAGGAAATATGTGGGCCCAGACGTGGAATAACCTCTACGATATGATGGTCCCGTTTCCTGACGCACCTAACCTGGATGTCACCAGTGAGATGGTCAGACAAGTGCGTATAAAGGATGGGTAATTCTACCCAATTGGACTGCTGGAGAAAACACAGTTTGATAATGCATGTATGTATTATATTTCTTTTAATGGGTTTGGTCTTTACAGGGTTACAATGCTACGCACATGTTCCGCGTTTCTGAGGAGTTCTTCACCTCTCTGGGATTAAAGGAGATGCCCAGAGAGTTCTGGGAAGAGTCGATGCTGGTTAAGCCTGAAGGCCGGGAGGTCGTGTGCCATGCTTCTGCCTGGGATTTCTACAATCGCAAAGACTTCAGGTAAAACACATAGTCTCTATTCTCTATTTATCGGCTTAGATTAATCAGAGTATCAACATTTGATCCTTTGCAGGATTAAGCAGTGCACTACAGTGACCATGGATCAGCTCTTCACAGTACACCATGAAATGGGCCACATCCAGTACTACCTGCAGTACAAGGACCAGCCTGTGGGCTACCGTCGTGGAGCCAACCCCGGTTTCCACGAGGCCATCGGCGACGTCATGTCCCTTTCAGTTTCAACACCTAAGCACTTACATGAGATCAACCTGCTGGAAACTGCGACCTCTGACCTCGGTAACAATGACTAAATTACCTCCAGTTAAAGAGATGTGAACTTACAATACGTCATTGAAAAATAGAAATGTTTATTCAGATATACTGATGATTGAGAAGTTTGTTTCTTTTCTTCGCTTCTCCAGAAACCGATCTGAACTTCCTGTTAAAGACGGCTCTGGATAAGATAGCCTTCCTGCCTTTTGGCTACCTCATTGACCTATGGAGATGGGGGGTGTTCAGTGGAAGCACACCTCCTGAAAAATACAACTCAGATTGGTGGTATCTCAGGTGGGAATAAATGCAGACAGGACTTTTATGTAAAGCCTAGTCAGCAATATTTCAGATGTACAATTTAAAGGAAAAAAATCAAACCGAGAACAAATCCATAAGAAAACATTATGAGACGTTGTTTTCTTTTCCCAGAACAAAGTACCAAGGAATTTGTCCACCTATCAGTCGAACAGAAAAAGACTTTGATCCCGGAGCAAAGTATCATATTCCTGGAAACACACCATACATCAGGTAAACCTCCTTCAACAGAAAGTAAAGCACAGTTACAGAGTATAAGGAAAATTAAAAAAAAAAAAAAAAAAAAATATATATATATATATATATATATATATATATAGAGAGAGAGATCTTTATTCCACTATTGTTGCCAGCCAAGAACTACTTTAGTAAATGGAAATGAGAAAAAAGGCAATCCCGAATTAAACTTAAAAAAACTCTGAAAAACTTAGAGAATAACTTTGTTTTCTCAGATTTTATTTTTTAAAACTGTTATTTTTTCTATTTTAGTTTTTGTTTACAGATTTAAACATTTCAGATTTTACTTCAAAAATGTATTTCTTTAGATTCAGTTTAATGAATTGCGTTTTACAGTCACATTCTGTTCACTGCTGGGGGCGGGATTTCCTCTGGAGTGAGGAGAAAAGACAGATTTCTATTGGTCTGTATGAACTTTTAGTTCAATTTAATTCAGTTTATTTCTATAGCTCCAATTCACAACACGTCATCTCAAGGTACTTTACAGTTCAACCAGATCATGCAGTCAAATTAGTCAGTTTTCTATCTAAGGAAAACCAGTTGATTGCATCGACTCATTGACTCTTCAGCAATCCCTCACACTAAGCATGCTTGTAGTGACAGTGGAGAGGAAAAACTCCCCTTTAACAGGAAGAAACCTCCAGCAGAACCAGGCTCAGTGTGAGCGGCCATCTGCTGAGGCCGACTGGGGTTCAAGGAGACAGAAGCAGAGATAGATAAAGAAGCATAGATAACAGGTTTCCCACAACAATGGAATCAGGGTCGATTCTATGATCATAGAGCTGTCTGGTCTGGCAAGATACATTTTTACTTTTTTCTACATACATTTTCTACATTTTGAAACTTCCTCTGTGAAAAGTAGAAAGCGCCATTTTTTTTTAGAATATTTCAAACATTTAAAGCTGTTTAATCGGTTCTCATTAAGTGTTATTTTTGTGTGCCAAACTGAGTGAGTGGGAACTTGAGTTCTAATGGTTTAGGACCAGCAGTCTTATCCACTAAACCGAAAGTTACGTATGTAACTACGGTTCTATGAATCCCGGATGACCGCCAGAGGGCGGTGCTGAAAGCACTGAATGTTCCCTTCGGGCATGCGCAGTTCGAGTAATTATACCAACAGAGTCACACCTGTGACACCGGATGACCACTCAGAAGCTATATAGCCTGGTGTCATCCTTTGCTTTGCTCCTACAGAATCTTCTCGCAAAAGCAAGGATTCTGAGTGACAGAGAAGCTCTGGCGGTCATCCGGGATTCATAGAACCGTAGTTACATACGTAACTTTCGTTCTATTTCATCCCTACTGACCGCCAGAGGGCGATGCTGAAAGCACTGAATGACTAATGCCAACGATGTCACAAGGAATCCTGAGCACATACCTCACAGAGGAGGCCCAGCAGAACCTTGTAAAAGGACCTGACCCAGGGGATGAGGGGCAGCCACATTGACACTGTAGAAACTGGTGAAGGTGGTTGGGGAAGCCCATGAAGCAGCAGCACATATAGCTTCCAGCGGAACCCCTCTCAAAGCAGCCCAGGAAGCGGTGACGCTCCTGGTGGAATGTGCTCTCACACCGACTGGCAGGGAGCAGTGACCTGCAGCGTAGGCGTGGCAGATGACACTCACAATCCAATGGGACAGACGCTGTTTAGAAAGAGGACAGCCTAACCTTGGACCCCCATAGCATAGGAAAAGCTGGTCCGAGCGTCTCAGATTGGCGGTGGCTGCAATGTATGCCTCCAACGCTCTTACTGGGCACAACAACTCAGACTCATTCTCAGTTGTACCAGATTGAGGCTGAAACAGAGCCAGCCGCAATGGCCGGTTACGGTGAAAAGGAGACAACACCTTAGGCACAAACGCAGTATTAGGCCACAGGGTAACACCAGAGCCATCTGGATTCCACCTGATACACCTAGGGCTGACAGAAAGAGCATGCAGCTCGCTGACCCTCTTAGCTGAGACGATAGCCATCAGGAAAGCAGTCTTGCAGGAAAGCCACTTGAGTTCTGCTTGTGCCAAAGGCTCGAATGGAGGGTGGCACAGAGCTGTGAGAACCAACGGCAGATCCCAATCTGGGGCTAGTGGGGCTGGCCGCTGGCACAACCTACGAGCACCATGCAGAAAAAGTGAAACCAGTTCATGGCGCCCCACTGTACGGTTGTCAACAGTTCGGTGAAGACATGAAATTGCTGCAACATACACTTTAAGGGTCGAAGGAGAGCGGCCCTTATCAAGGAGAGACTGGAGGAACTCCAAAATAGTGGGCACCAAGCAGGAAAGCGGGTTCTCATTGTGGGCAGAGCACCACTGAGAAAAGAGGCGCCATCTGTTAGCATACTGCAGCCGAGTGGAGGAAGCCCTAGCACTCAATACGGTGTGTCTCACGGTGTCTGAACACCCAGTCAGCCTCCCAGGGGCCATGCCCACAGCTGGAGACGTTGAGGATTGGGGAGCCATATCTGTCCCCCCAACTGAGACAGCAGATCCCTCCTTGCTGGAAGACGCCATGAAGTACCATGACACAGACTCCAAAGCAGCGGGAACCACGGCCGCGCTGGCCAGAACGGAGCTACCAGCAACACTCTGTGGCCCTGCTCGAGAACCCTCCGTAGAGTCGGCCGAATCAGTGAGAGGGGTGGAAAGGCATACAGGAGAACCTGCGGCCATGGATGAGCCAGTGCATCCTGGCCCAGTGCGCCCGCCATCCCGGTTAGGGAATACCATAGGGGGCAATGGGTCGACTCCTCTGTGGCGAACAGATCTACCTCTGCCTGCCCAAAGAGGTTCCAGATTATGCGCACTACGTCGCGGTGAAGAGACCACTCTCCCGGAGCAGGTGCCTGGCGGGATAGAGAGTCCGCAACCTGGTTCTGCCATCCTGGCAGATACGCTGCGCGCAGGGTATACAGACGGGGAAACGCCCATTCCAGGAGATCCCTCGACACCTTCAAGAGACGTGCTGACCTGGTGCCACCTTGGTGGTTTATATGATAAACAACAGAGGTGTTGTCTGTCCGAATCAGCACGTGCCTTCCCTCTAGGTGGGGCAGAAGGCACCTGAGGGCCATGTGCACAGCCCGCAGCTCCAGCACATTTATGTGTTCGGTGCGCTCCCTTGGGTCCCAGAGACCCCGAACAGCTCTGTGTTGCCACACGGCACCCCAGCCCATGAGGCTGGCATCCGTGGTGACCACCTCCCTTCGACACACTACTAGCCCCATTGGAACACCACTGGACAAAAGGGTCCCGTCTCGCCAAGGAGCTAGGGCATGGAGGCAGCTCCTGATCACCATTAGCCTGCGATGCCTGTGCAGCCTGGCGTCTAGGCGAAAGCTGTTGAGCCATCGCTGCAAAGGACGCAGAAGGAGCAGTCCTAAGGGCACGACACGAGTGACTGATGTCAGTTTGCCCAGCATTCGCAGGAAGATGATGTAGGGAAACTCCCTGCCTAGTCTGAATCGACGGACAAGCTGGAGTATGTCGTCCACCCTGTGAACAGATGGACGGGCCATCATGGTAGTAGAGTCCAGATGCATCCCAAGAAAGGTGGTTGTCTGAGATGGAACAAGACAACTCTTTGCCAAGTTGACACATGAAGTAGAAGCTGGGACGTATCCCGAGAGGCAGCTACCTGAGAGGGAGCACAAAGAAGCCAATCGTCCAGGTATGGCAGAATCCTGACTCCGGAGGCCTGTAGAGGAGAGAGGGCTGCTTTCACGCATCGAGTAAACACCCTCGGGGAAAGGGAGAGCCCGAATGGGAGCACCCGGAATTGCCAATGGCGCCCCCGATAGGCGAACCTGAGAAAACGGCGATGTTCTGCCGCAATAGGCACGTGAAAGTAGGCGTCTGTCAGATCTACTGATGTAAACCAATCTCCCGCCACAATGGTCTGAAGGACCTCTGTTATGGTGAGCATGTGGAAGGGAAGGACCTTCAGGTACCGATTCAGTCCCCTTAGATCTAAAATGGGGCGAAAACCGCCGGTCTTCTTGGCCACAAGGAAGTATGTGGAGTAGTAGCCTCTGGGTTGCTGCAGAGGATCTACAGACTCGATTGCCCCCTTGCCCAGGAGGGCGGAAAGCTCCTGGTCTAGTGCCTGAGATTTCACCGGGTCTGTGATGACAGTCATCTTGACCCGGTGTGAGAGGGGGGGCCGCCGTCGGAACTGGAGCCTGTAGCCATTGGTTAAGGTGGCAACCACCCATGGATCTACGGCATGAGCAGCCCAGAAATTCAGCTGCTGATGGGAAAAATGTCCGACGGCTGGCCCGGTGGCATCATCTTCTATCCCCACGGCCCCTGGGGGCTCTGGGGGGAGGGCGCCCAGGATTTGAGGCCCGGGTCTGTCTAACAGGGCGGCAGACTGGCTCACGAAAGTCCCTTCTCGGTCTCTGCTGCACATCATGGGGATAGGAACCAACAGGTCTGCCACCGGTCTGAGGTCGTGGCTGAACGCTGGGGGTAGTGGCAGGGCGGCCCGAACGCTGGGGAAAGGCAGGTATGCTCCTGCGAAGGCCGGAAAGCTGCTGGCTAGTCTGACGTGCCTGAGCAGTCCGTTCCAGCGCCTCCAAGGCAGCTGATCCAAACAGCTCCCCTGGTACAACCGGTACACCCCTGAGGGTCCTACGGCATGCTTCAGTCAGAGGAGACTGTGCCAACCAGACCTGTCTACGAGCTTGGACAAGGAAAGACATGACCCGTCCAAGCTCTCTGGTCATCAGCGCGAAGGCCTGCAGCGCTGCGTCACTATAACCAATCGCCGCACTTGCACCACCAGTGTCCTGAACAGATGCAGACAGGGCAAACATGAGGTGCGCCAGGGAATTGCCAAGGTGGCCAGCACGCGCTCCTGCATTGTACGCCTTACAGAGGAGGTCATCTGTAACCCGACATTGAGTCCGCGGGCACCGGACATCAGAACGCAGGGCTTCATCTGGTGACACAATCAGTGAAGCAACAGCTGGTTCAATTGCTGGCATACGGTCCAGGCCGGCCTTCACTGACTCATGCATGGCAGCTAATACACGACCATCCGAGGAGAGACGCGACAGCGCTCTCGGTTCCCGCCAACAGGCGTGTAACTCCTTCAGGTACTCCTCTGATGGAGGTACAGAAAAAGGAGTAGGAGCCCTTCCACGTCTGAAAAAAGCACTGCCAGAGCTGGATGCCTCTCCTTGTGGGAGTTCCAGCTGCAGCTGCTTCAGGGCCATAGACATGACCTCCCGCATGGAACCGTCACCGGCCTCTCCAACCGCACTCTGAGATGAAAATGAACCAGCCTCAGAGGCTTGAGAGGACCCTGCCTCCTCCTCATCTCTAAAATGAGAAGCGGAAGCAGCCAGAGAGATAACGTCATCCTCTACAACCAGCTCGGGCATTGGTGGGGAAGAGAGCCCAACCACTGGGAGCGAGGGATCAGATTGCCGTGTCTGCAACAAGGACTTCATCTCTGCCAGCTCTGCTGACAACTGCTCCACCCTTGTGGACAGGCTCTGGTCAGGTTTGGCCCGCTTCCTCCGGGGGAGGGGCACAGATGCTGTGGTCCCACCACGGCGCTTAGAACGCTTGGGGGGAACCACCTGCCCAGAGGGCGGAAGGTCCGAGCCCTCCTGGGGGCACAACCGGGCCACCCTCACTGCATGGGGCATAAAGCTGCAGTTCATACAGGGGTTCTCAGACAGCGCCTCCAAAAGGTGCTCATGTCCAAGGCAGGTAGGGCACAGGTCGTGGCCATCCTCTGCCTGCAGGGCAGCCCCACAATCTATGCAGCTGTGAGAGCCATCCATGTCGAAGGCCGACAAGGCTTAAAGAACAGAAAGTTATCGAAAATCGGGAGAGGGGGCGCAAACGCAGCCGTCACCAATTACAGCAGAGAAACGAAAGAGGCTGCGAGCACAAGGCAGCCGATACTGGGAGAGGGGGCGAGAACCGCTACCGTCACCAGGTATAAAACCAATAAACCAAAAAAGCTAAAAACGTTAGCTGTATGGAAACTTAAGTTGGGAGTAGGAGCGAACAACGCTGCCGTCACCAATTATAGCGGATAAAACAAGAGAGGCTGCGGACACAAGGCGGCCGATACTGGGAGAGGGGGCGAGAACCGCTACCGTCACCAGGTATAAAAGCAATAAACAAAAACAGCTAACAACGTTAGCTGTATGGCAACTTAAGTTGGGAGTAGGAGCGATAAACGCTGCCGTCACCAATTAAGAGAGCAGACCAACGAAAAGGCTGCAAAAAAGGTTGATATTGGGAGAGGGGGCGAAAACGCTGCTGTCACCATTTATAACTAAGCAGACTGATGAAGAAGGCTGCAAACAAACCAAAAAACTCCAACTACTACTTCGGCAAACGAAGTAGACCACACTTAGTTGGGAGAGGGGGCGAAAACCGCGGCTGTCGGTAATTATAGCAGCGCAGACCGGTGAAAAAAAGGATGCAAAAGTAGGGAATATACTGGGAGAGGGGGCGAAAACCGCTGCTGTCACCAGGTATAACACCAACAAACTAAAGAAGCTAACTACGTTAGCCGTATATAACTTCGGCAGTGAAGTTATTCACACTGGGAGTAGGGGCGAAAACGCTGCCGTCACCAGTTCGGAACAAAACAGCACGAAGCTGTAGGTAAAAAGCTAAAGTCGTGAGCCGGGAGAGGGGGCGCGGACGCTACCATCACCAGCAAACAACTCACTTACCTTCCGTAATCTTCAGAATCGACCCGTTGCAGCCCTGGGAGGGCGGAGAATAACCGCAACTCCGGTCAAGAGACAGGGGCTTCAGACAACGGGGAAGTTAGCGAACCGCTTGCGAGAAGAAAAAAGGAGCAGGGCAAAGGATGACACCAGGCTATATAGCTTTTGAGTGGTCATCCGGTGTCACAGGTGTGACTCTGTTGGTATAATTACTCGAACTGCGCATGCCTGAAGGGAACATTCAGTGCTTTCAGCACCGCCCTCTGGCGGTCAGTAGGGATGAAATAGAACTATAGGCAGGTGTGAGCTGCTTTGGCTCGGTGGCTCGTCTGCTGCTCTCTGTGTCTCCTCCCCTTCTCTCTCCCTGCTCTGCTCTGTCTCATCTCCCTGTTCTTCTCCTCCTTGTAAAGTGAAATTAAGCAAGTGGTAAACCATACAGATAATTAGGAAAATGTTATAAAGATGTCTAGTTTAGACAGAGGTTCACTGATATGTGCATGAGTGTTTCTGGAAAGCATCCAGTATGGGCGATTGAATGGATGTTTTTTCTTTGTCAGCTTAACAGCTGCTATTTCTGTTTTTTTTGTTTTTTAAACCTGTTTTTTCCTGACCTGGCACTCTGCACACACCTTTCTCCTCTGCTTCCGTTGTACACCTCTCCATATTCGGACTGACGATCATAACATGGGTTGACTTTAACCAGATTAATATATACAGTGGTGCTTTATAGTTTAGACACACTTCCGATAAGAAAAGGCTAAATCCAAAACAGTAATTTAAAAAGAAACTGAACTAAATAATGCTTTAGAAAATTAAAATATTGATTGTATTGTCGTTTCAAAAATAATAAACAAACGAACAAAATAGTCCCAGACACATTAGAGCACCTCACTCATGAACATTTCACCAACCATCCATCAACAGGAGCAAAAATTTGACTGAATACTCAAGATTTCCTCAAAGCTTTGCTAAAAATTGTAGTTCAGGAGCTTTTTAAATTCTTTTTTTCAGTGTTTATTATTAATATTTCTGTTGAACCACAATTCAAAATTAATGTCATAATTATCATAGAATTTGTATTTATTATTTTGTCAATGTCAATCAATTTCACTGGTAATTGGCTCATACACTATTACAAAAAACCCAACTCAATCAATTAACTTAAGAAACACCAATTGAATTGAACATAATCCACTCCATACAATCTAAAGTTGCTTTTATATTGAGCTTCCTCACCTGTTGCCAAAAATGAAAAAGTCTTTGGAAGTCCTCCATCATGTCATTTAATCTCAGCTTAGTTTTACGTCCTCCCTTTACTTTGCTATAATTTACTTTAATCGAGTTTGTCATCATAACACGACAATGTGAAACTAAAAAATATCAAGCTTTATCAACACTTTACTTGTAAATGAGTATAAACTGATTCCAGTGAAAAAAGACAATATTTGCTGTAGTTTTTTTTTTGCCACTTTGAAACAAACTCTGAGGGAAACAATTAAGGGAAAGCAACTCAGTTTAAGAGACTAAACTGAAGGGAAGTGGAAAAAGGGGGCAGCTTCAATGACACATAAAACCTAACCATGATTCAACCCATCTTTTAAATGTGTTTTTTTCCAATGCGGTTTTCTTTCTTCTCCAGGTACTTTGTTAGCTTTATCCTGCAGTTCCAGTTTCACGAAAAACTCTGTGAGGCAGCCAAACACACCGGACCTCTGCACAGATGCGACATCTATAAATCTGCAGAAGCTGGAGACATTTTACGGTAGGAATCACGTCTTTATTGCACATGAATAAGTGGGACTGAAACATTTTGCCAAAAATCTGAATTGTGTTTTTGTTTTTTTTCAACTGATAGTGATTTTGATTTTCTATCCACCAACCACAGCATATAGCATTTTCCTAAGCATATAGATTCTTCACACTAGGATTGCTTTCATGACCTTGTTCAGAGTCCATAATTGCAGGACTTTACTGTTACTGTTGTTTGGAAAAGTTCTTCTAGACCTATGCAGGATTCTGCAGCCTTGTTGCTACTTCGTCTTCCCTTCTCATTAGTGCCACCTAAAGGGCTGGAATGAGAAAGCCAGACACTTATCTGTTGTGATTTGACCAAAAGCGCCTCTATGAATTGAAAAGTTTTTCTGTCAAATTAAGTTCATATTGCACGTGGAGTTAATTGCCTATTCCTGTGAGTAATGCACATTTTTCAAAATGAAATACAATATACTTTCTTCCATCCACAGAAAAGTTCTTGAATTAGGTTCCTCGAGACCCTGGCCTGAGGTGCTCCAAGAGGCTATCGGCACAGATAAGATGGACGCCAGCTCTCTAATGAAATACTTTGAGCCCATAACCAAGTGGCTGGAAGAACAAAATGTGGATGAGACCCTGGGATGGCCTGAATTCACCTGGGTCCCACCTGTCCCTGAAGGCTACCCTGAAAATATTGGTAATGCTGAATTACGAGCTCATTAAAAGGCTTCACATTATAGACTTTACAATATTAAATGTCTCATCTCACTATGAATATGATTATGTTCATTTACACAGACAAGAATACAGACGAGCTTAATGCAAAGCAGTTTTTAGAGGATTATAACAGTACAGCTGAGGAAGTGTGGTATGCCTACACCGAGGCCTCCTGGAAGTACAACACGGACATCAATGAAGCCAATAAGGAGGATATGGTAGGAAAAAACTTCAATGATTGACTGTAAATGATGGCTCAGCTCAGAGGGCACAAGTGCATTAGTCAGTGCATCCACAAATAAACCAAAACAAAATACAGTTTGTCAATCATGCATCACACTGTTTCCACTATATTTACACTTAAAAAAAAACATATTTAGCAGCATTTATTTCAATGTTGCTCCTCCAAGGCTCACCTCAGAGGTTTTAAGTGATCTTGTATTGAGCTGATGATAGCTTTCCAACGAGAGGATTTATTCATCTTCATAAACAACATATCAGACTTTTGGTAACCTATTAATGATCTAAATGTCCATATTTACTAGTTATGTGACCTTACAATGGAAACATTATGGCCACGGCCTCTTCAAGCTATTCTACTCAGTACATCCACAAATAAACAAAAACAAAATACAGTTTATCAATCATGCATCATATTTTCCATGCATCACACTGTTTCCACTATATTTACACTTTAAAAAAAATTGTGGTTAATAAAATACATTATCTATAATGTTCTTTTTTCTAAATAAATTCCAGTTTTTAAGATCAACACACATTTACCTTTTTAATATCATGAAATACTAATATGTTTCAATTGTTTGAATGGGACCTTTAATGACCTGTACTTGGCTGCCATTGACTGCATCACTATAAAGGATTGCAACAGCTTTCCATGGTGATCGGAAACAACCTCAAAATAGGTTAATTTTAGTGACAAAACATGTATTTAAAGTCACATTCAATGAAAATCCCCAGAAATGTACAGCCCAATACTCGATAAGGTTCCCTAAACCATAACTGCTCAAGATCAGCATGTCCACCTTACATTCCTATGAATTTCTGCAAGCTTGGGGGAGTGGCGGCCAGGTGGTTAGGACATAGAGCATGGAATAATGAGGTTCTGAGTTTGAGTCCCACTCCCACAGACTGCACTCGGGGTCTCTGAGCAAGTTAACCCCACACTGCTCCCAAGGCGCCTCACGATGGCAGCCCACTGCTCCACAAGGGGATGGGTTACATGCAGAGGTACATTTCTCCAATGTGAGATTAATAAAGTTCATTTATTATCATTATTTTTATTAGCAGGTTAGCTTCAACACCCATTCACTCAAACACAAATATCTCTCACAAAGCCCATTTTAACTTTTATCACATGCAACTGCAGAATCCATAACATATTGTTTATGTTTACCAACATCTGGTAATGAATAACTGAATGTTTTGAGCTGATGATACAGTAGCTTTCCAACCAGTGCATTTATTCTTCCTCGGCTGGTGGGCAGCTCTACTCTCTATCAGTTGGGTATTTTACGTCCCCCTATGGCAAGCATAGGTGTAGCGATTAGTCGTTTTGAGTTAAAATAATACCATATAAATATTTATATATTCCAAATTGTCAAATTAGCATCTAACGTGCATATTGGTGCATCCATCTATTCCTCTGTCTCAATGATCATAATTGGATGACTTGGCCTTTCTTCTTCTTTTCCAGCTTAAGAAGAACCTGGAGATGTCGGCTCACACCCTTCAGTACGGCCTGAAGGCTCGACAGTACGACTTCACTGACTTCCAGGACCCCTCAGTCAAACGCATCATCCAACATCTCAGTGACATTGAAAGGGCCGCGCTGCCCTCCGCCGAGCTGGAAGAGGTGGGAATAAACTATGCTGGAAATGTCTATGAAAAAACATCCAAACTCTTTAAAAACTTTTTTATCATTTCAATGTTTCAGATCATCAAAGGGTTTCTTTATTTATTAACAAAATCCTGTTTTTAAAATATTTTTGTCTGTTAGAGAAAAAGCAAACTGAGCTAAAGCCACGACACCTATGTGATTTTCAACGACTGCTGTAAATTTGAAGTTACCACATTTTCACGACCATAAGGCGCACCGTACTAAAAGGCGCAGTCTCAGTTATGTGTGCCATTTCTGTATTTAACACACACATAAGGCGCACCGGACTATAGTGCGCGGGTTTTATATACCGGTACATGTCCTCTACTACCTTTAAATACCTCTACTGCGTATTTAAAAATAGAGTGGGAGCAAAACTGAGTATGATTGTGCTTTATTGTAATAAATCAAAGTCATCATCCTCTGTTTCTGAATTAAACAGCTGCGCTAAATCAGACATGCCAATTTCCCCTTCTTCGCTGTCAGAGTCACTTTCCGTGATGTGCGGCTCCTCGGAAATGATGCCGGCTTTTGCGAAAGCTCGTACAACAGAGCCAGCAGACACGTTAGCCCAAGCATCTACAATCCATCCGCAAACTGTGGCGTAACTTGCCCGGCACTCGTTCTTTGCTCGATGATCCACCGCTCGAGTCTTTCCTCCAACTCGGACCACCTCGCCTTATGTCCTCAGCTGTGTCTTCATCGTCTGTCGGAGTTCGTTTTCCATCTTCCTCCACTTGCGAACCATCGATTCATTAATCTTGAATTCTCTGGCGGCTGCTCGGTTTCCATGTTCCTCTGCGTAGCTGATAGCCTTCAGTTAAAACTGTGCATCATAGGCGTGTCTCTTTGCCATTTTCAGGGTTGCTATGACAACAATGTTCTGCATAAAGCACATACCTGTTCTTTTATACACAATCCACGCCCACACTTCCCCCTTTAACGTTCTCATGGTGGTCTCAATAATGTCCGCAGTAACACATAGGGCGCGCCGCACATTTTGAGGGGAAAAAAAGACATTTATATGCGCCTTATAGTCGGGAAAATACGGTAATAAACACTTCGTAAGTGTACTCACTCACATTCAGGATCATATGATATATGAATGCGGGTTTGATGTTAAAACCAGCTCATTGTGCTCGTATGGATCCAGCCTTTAACTCCTTTTATTTTCTCCAAAAACTGCACCTTCGCCTTTCCTTTTGACTGGCTGTTGTACGGACCCACTACGATCTCCATGTGCCGCTCCATTTTGTTTTCTTTCTTTACTTTTATCGTTGTTCCACAAAATCTGTTTTCTGTGCCTTTAAAGGTGTAGTTTTTCTTTTTCCGGTGGATCATAAGGATAAGTGGTCCTCCTAATTGTCATTTATTCTCAATAGATTTTTACCTGAGACCATCCTACATGCTCGTCTCCAGTTAGCTATCTTTTTCTGCTCATGCGCACTTTCAGGCACATATCTGTGGTGGAACTACAATTTCAGACATTCACCGAAACTCACCTTTCTCACCACTGTTCTTTGAAAATGGCGGAGGGTCGTAAGAGAAAAGGTGTCTACGAAGTGCATGAGAAGAAAAGAAACACCTCAGAATAGGCAGATATATCCCAGAATGCTTTGTATTTAGCTCTCCTCACAAAGCTTTATGGGATTTTATCTATTTTTTGTCCTGTTCAGCATTATGGCAGCAGAACTCATATCTGAGTACCGTGCTATACTGATCAAATTTGCTCTGCCAAGGGAGTCTTAGTTGGTGAGAAGCCCCCCTTGATTACCCAAAATTACTTGATTTATTTATTTTGTTACAAAATTAACATATGACCGATAATGCCGAACCTGACAGAGACAGAAAAAAGAAAAACAGTGGAAAGGAAAGAGATCTTTTGGACCAAAACAGAGAAAAATTACAAGAAAAACCACACAACCAGCTACTGTGTCTAAAAAAACAAGAACAAACAAGCAACAAGAGCAACAGCATTGGGGGATTTTCTGTCACATTGGCTGCTGTCGCTACCCGACAGCTGCGACTAATATAAAGGATGGCACAGGTACAGACGTGGTGGAGGCGGAGTTATGTAACAAACCGGGAGCAAAAAGTAGTGATCCTCTGTCCCAATGGTCAGTTAACTGAGTTTACTATATAGTCACTATATAGTCCAGCTCTATATAGTGATGGAGGGATTTAGGGGTTAGGGTAGACATTTGAGCACATTAAGCTTTTATGAGCTATGAGAACAGCAACTTTAAAACAGCGTGTACACGGAGAAATGGGCTTGTGCACGCTCTCGCACGACTTTAATAAGCCTTCCCTCTCAGGAGTGGGTACAGGGTTTTGCATGTGCATTTTTTTCTAAGTGGGGAAGGCGGGTTTTATAAAATATTCGCGAAAATCCTCCATAATACCTTTAACTGACATCCCTGTGGAGGAGTTTCAGCCCACTCTAGCAGAACAGTTTTAATAAGCTATTTTTTAAAGCATGATCTTGTCAATAAGATCTTAATAAGGAGTGAATTTTGTTCCGTTATTCATGTAAGGAAAGAACAAGTTTCGGTAATGGAAATTTGAAATGAAGGCATTCTAGAAATGAAACTTTGAAAAACCTCTTCATCAAAAAAGGTTTTGAGAATATTGTTGTATTCTCAGATTTTTTAGTTTACTTTTTATTTATTTTTTTCCCTTCAGATTAAGTTTTACGAATAGCGTTTTACAAATCACATTCCCTCCTTTTCTGGGGGCGGGCTTTCCTCTGGAGTGATGAGCGATGACCCTTTTCTTACAGAAGTTAGCAACAAGATTTTTATTGTCAGTGTCTGCATCAATGGTTATATTGGTTATACAGTACGTGAAGACTGCTGCCATACGACCTCAAATTGAGACTGATTAGGTTACTTTTTTTTTTTTAACAGGTTACTAATGTACTTGCTTGCATGCTTTGAATTACTTTTTTTTCTGCAAAGGTTAAGTGTGCTGAAGCTATCATAGCTGTTCTATAAAAATCCAAAGTGTCACCATGTTTTACTGTCAGTATGAAGCTGTTTCTCTGAAATGTGTCCGTTTGCACTAGAAGTGAAAGGACAGACTCTGTTCAGTACGTTGCAGTTTTGTTTTGTCCATCCACAAAATCTTTTGCCACACTTTTGAAAAGCCTGGGGAGGTTCACGTCCCCAGGAGTGACTGGGTGTCTGTCCTGGGTTGTCCTGGCAACCTGTCCGGGCTATAATGACTGCCTCTTATGTGGAAAATGATTCTCAAAAAGGTCACAAGAAGAATTTCTGCTTGATTAGAAACAATTATTTTCTTTTTTGCAGTACAACACTCTTCTATCTAACATGGAGACCAAATACAGCGTCGCTGAGGTTTGCAGAACAGATGGAAGATGTCATCCTCTGGATCCAGGTAAAATTCACAAATATTTCAACTTAACTAGAATGAATTACCTGATATAAACCAATTAATGCTCATAAGGATTCAAAATCATTTCACTATTTTTTTGCCTAAAGCACAAGTTGTTCTTGGCTGTAATATTGTTTCCTGCTGGTTTTAGATCTCCAGAAAATCATGGCAGAGAGCAGGGATTATAATGAACTGCTGTTTGCCTGGAAAGGATGGAGAGACTCTGCTGGAAAAGTTATCCGTGAGGATTATAAGAGATATGTTGAACTGGCCAATAAAGCTGCCACCCTCAATGGTATGACACCTGGATCTGATTTTACCTAAACAATCCTATTCCCACTCTCGCTTTTTCTTTACATAAATGTTTGCTGTTAAGAAAAACAACTAGAATGTATCATTTGTCAGTTCTGGGGTTTTACACTTAAATCAGCTTGCTCTTTTCAGATGATAAGTTCTTTAGCTCAGTTGTAATATCCTAAGATCTCTGAATTGACAATGTTTACTTAAAGGTACCACATATCTTGTTCTATTTTTTTTCTATGAATAATTTGCCATTTTAACTATATATATATATATATATATATATATATATATATATATATATATATATAAAAAATATGCACAGTTTTATATTGTTAAAATACTGTAAAGTGTTTTATCTTTTAACTCACTATTATGACTAATTATTACTATTACTCATTCACTATTATGTTATTCTTATACAGTTTTCTAAGGTCCACATTTGTGTGAATTTCTCCATTTTTGGACAATGAAGGGATTCCTATTTTATTCTATTCTTTTCTATATTATAGACAGGTGCAGACAGGCTCAAGAAATACACTTTGTAAGATGAGCAGAGATGCATCAATCTGATGCCTCCCCGGATTTGATATCAGATTAATGAAGCTGATCTGGCTTTCCAGTCCAGTCATATCTTTATTATTGACATCATACACAGCAAAACAGTTACAGCTATCTTATCATTTTAATTCCATATTTTAAATACAGATAATATCATCACTCTGAGTGCCAGTGGTGTCAAAAGTACACCTACTTAAGTAGAAGTATAGATACTGCAGTTTAAAAACACTCTGGTAAAAGTTGAAGTATCAACTTGACCTCTTTACTCAAGTAAAAGTGAAAAAGTATGTGCTCCAGAAACTACTTAAAGTATAAAAGTATAAAGTAACCTTTAAGAAAAACAGTCAGATGCAACTATATGAATTGAAAGCTAAATTTTTCGACTATTTCTAAAAATTCTTTGAGATAGGGCCAAGGATGAGGGAGGTCTTGTTGGTCTCCATCTCCCGATACGCTCTCGCCTGTGTCCGACCTTTCAGACATTTCAACATCTTTTTCTGAATCCCACATTGTAGCATGGCATAGACAATTCACGTTAGCAGTTTGAAGAACACCTGCTTGCTTCTGATGATTTCCTTTAGCTAACCAATGAGTCTTTGCGTTATACGACTCATCCAATTACACTAGTTTTCACTAGATGTGGGTGGAGCCAATGATCTGCATTGGAACGAGCACATGACGGGAAATAAATATTTAGAAACAATTATCCGAAGCCAAGAGTAACGAGTAACGTTTGTTTAAAAAATGTAAGGAATAGAAAGTACAAATATTTGTGTGAAAATGTAATGCGTAGAAGTCAGAAGTAGTAAGAAAAATAAGTAATGGAGTAAAGATACCTAAAAAGTGTACTTAAGTACAGTAACAAAGTATTTTTACTTCATGACATGACACCTCTGCAGAGCGCACACAGCAGCTAGAGGGAATTTATATCTCTCTGATCTTTGCAGATGAGCCAACAATAATAATCCCATTCAAGGCAGGTTAATAATCCATTTTTATCTTTACGACTAAATGATGCAGCATTATCAGTGTTTTATTATTAAATCATGGTCGCTGGTTATCTTAACCTTTGTATTCGCTATTTGGAAAACACTATACAAGGACTTTTAATATTAAAAGCTGCACTTATTGATAAACAATAAACATTATTCTCCTGTTTTTCATATGCCTTGAACTGTCTATGGGATTTGTACAGCTAAACGTTTGTGGAAAATATACATATATATTAAACTTAAACGAAATTATCCTAAAGCACGTTCAGCTGGATCTTAAACAGTGAGCAGAAAATATTTATTTCAAGGTTTGTGTGAAAGTAGACTCTAAATCGCAGAAGGAAAGAGCTACTTTTTACTTAGTAATAAGTAAAAAGTTTTCCTGATGCAGCATTTAGTTAGTTCTATTTCTTTAGCAGCTCAGAGAAATGTCAGTTGAACACAAGTTAGTGCAACACAGACTTCAGAAGTTAAAGAGTTCCTGTTTGCTCTTTTCAATCCATTCACCAGAGCAAAGACCACCAGTTTGGTCCCGCTACAGTTGGTCTAACTATAACCCCCTCGGCTCAGTGAGGAATGTGTAGCAAAACTGTGAGTCAAAAGTGTCAATGTAAATACGCCTGTGTTCACCTCTGCTGCTGTTTACAGGTCATTCTGATAATGGGGCTTACTGGCGGTCCCTGTATGAAACTCCCACCTTTGAGGAGGACCTGGAGGCTCTGTGGAAGGAGCTGGAGCCTCTCTATCTCAACCTACATGCCTATGTTCGAAGGTCTCTCTATAAGAAGTACGGTGAAAAGTACATCAACTTAGAGGGACCCATTCCTGCTCATTTGTTGGGTAAGTTTGGAGCTTTTTGGCTAAAAAAAACTCTATCAAAAGCTGAAACTAACAAGGTTGACAGCGTGGAGAATAAAATGAAGCAAGGAAGGAAAAATCCAAGGAATTCTAACACTATAACCACAGCTTTCCTTTTATCTGCGAGCAAACTGCATTGATATGCTGCCTCTGGCTGCAGATGCCTTTGGATTTAAGACAGATTACATTTTCTTTCAGAGGCATAAAGCGTGAGATTGTGTGTGACAGTTCCATAAGGTTAGGGATTGAACTGAGTCACAAACACAAATCCCACTTGGTTAAACACTGACATAACAGAGCGGTCTGCTCCTTAACCTCCCAGACGTGGAAACATAAAGCACTGCTGTTCTCTTCCGTCATGTCAGGGAACATGTGGGCGCAGACGTGGTCTGGAATCATGGATTTAGTGATGCCGTATCCAGACGCCACACAAGTGGATGCCACACCAGCTATGGTGGCACAGGTGATTCAATGCATTAATTATCATGACCTAATTAATCACACTAATGCCAATCATTGACATATTGGCTAAATAAACCAGATCAGTTGTTGAACAGAACTGCAATCACAGTGAAAATACCAAAAAGTTGATGCAGAAACTGTTTTTCCTTGTTCAGGGCTGGAATGCCACCAGGATGTTTCAGGAGTCAGACCATTTTTTTACCTCCCTGGGTCTGCTGCCGATGCCACAAGAGTTCTGGGATAAATCCATGCTGGAAAAGCCGTCTGATGGACGACAAGTGGTGTGCCACGCCTCTGCATGGGATTTCTATAACCGCAAGGACTTCAGGTTTTTTATTTTTTTTCCTTTAACTGCATAAAACAATAACATATTTTTTCTCTTTACATATTTCAAAGAAGTAATAAAAATAAAAAAAATCCACTGGACAGTTTTTTCCAAGTTTGAATACATTTCACCTCTCATCCAGGAGGCTTTTTTCACTTCAAAGTGTCAGGAAGAGCGTTGAGTTTGAGGTTTTATACAGTAGCCATTCAAAGTTTTTGTTTAGAAAACATGGAAATTGGGTCCACCCCTTTGGAATGGGGGTTGTTTGGCTTCTTTTATTAACCCTAAATGCCCCATACTTGTCTATGTCTCTGAAAGGGACATAGACAAATGTGAGAGCATGCACGAGCCCTTGTGCACGAGCAAAGTTGCTGTTTGCATCATTCATACGAGTTCTAGTTCACTGTTCTAGAGAATCTAACGTTAAATAGTACTGAAATAACGCATAATTTCTCATTAAGATATACATTTTTGCTCACACTGAGATGCATATTTTTTCTTCTGTAAACTGTTAAAAAATTGAAATCTAAATAAGTCTGTTTTTCTTAAAATACGAGCATTTTTTTCATTTTTTTCTTGGATTGAGGAGGTGAGACGTTTTGCCAATGGAACAAGCCAATTTACATTTCAAATAAGAAAAAAAGCTGCATTTTCCCATTTCCAGAGCACAATATTCAATTATCTTAATTTAAGGGTAAAAAATATTCAATACATCAGCAAATCATTTTATAAACCTGCTCAAATTAAGGTTAAATACACTTGATTTAAGACATTTTACTTATTTCTAGAGCGTTCTTGCAGTTAGAGCTTTAAGCAATGAATACAAAGAACAATCTAATGATAATCTTCTTATATAAAAAATGTAAACTGCAACTCTGTCCTTAAATGTGTCCATAGGATAAAACAGTGCACTGTTGTGACTATGGATGACCTGATCACTGTTCACCATGAAATGGGTCATGTCCAGTACTTCCTGCAGTACAAAGACCAGCCTCTGTCATTCCGCGATGGCGCCAACCCCGGCTTCCACGAGGCTATCGGAGACGTTCTAGCACTTTCAGTCTCCACGCCCAAACACCTGAAGAGCATCGGCCTCCTAGACAAAGTTGAGAGTAACCACGGTGCGTGACAAAACCAAACCTTTTTATTTCCGTCTTTAGGCGACGCAGAGTTTTTACACTGCATTTCATTCTGTAACTCTTATGTAGAGAGCGACATCAACTTTTTGATGAGCATGGCACTTGACAAAATTGCCTTCCTGCCTTTTGGTTACCTGATGGATCAGTGGAGGTGGAAGGTTTTTGATGGACGCATCCCTCCATCGGAGTACAATAAAGAATGGTGGAACCTAAGGTGAAGAACTTTATTGTTACAAAGTGCGCTTGTTACGTGTTATTATGACCATCTTACAGTTGTTTACTTCACAATTAAAGTCATATTTGTAAATGATTTGCTTAACCTGTAGATTATTGTTTATTGCAGACTGAAGTATCAGGGTCTGGTTCCCCCTGTAACCCGCACTGAAGAAGACTTTGACCCAGGTGCAAAGTTCCACATCCCTGCAAACGTGCCATACGTCCGGTAAGCCTCCATTTGCAAAACAAATGAGACGTGTTGCAGCTGAGCGTCGCCAGCCTGATAACTGCTTCGACACTCCAGCTGCAAAGAGATAAAAAAAATCCAACTGAAACGTTGTGCTTTCTAGTAAAACAAATTACTTAATGTTAAATCTTTAAAATACATATTTTTTTCAGCTACTTTGTAAGCTTCATCATCCAGTTTCAGTTCCACCAAGCTCTGTGTACCGCAGCTAATCATGTCGGGCCTCTGCACACATGTGATATCTACCAATCTAAAGAGGCCGGGAAGCTGCTGGGGTGAGTGTCTACTGAATGCTATATATTCGTTATACTGTTGATGATACATGTAACACATTAGCAGTGGTGGACGGAGTATTCAACAGGAAGTACCCAACAGTAGTAAAAGTATTGATACTCATAGTCAAATCCTACTCAGCTACACGTAAAAGTTAGTCAATAATCTACTCAGGAGTATTAAAGTACTTAGTTTTGAAAATACTTAAGAATTCAAACGTACGCGCACTTTAAAGTACTTAAGCATTAAAAAAATACAAATAAAATTTTCTAATATCAGTACATTTCTGTATATTTTCAAGAGTAATTTTAAAGAAACTTGTAACTTTCCTAAACCGCCTGATGTATTGATGCGTAGAACAACCTGCTGCAGATTCTACTAGTGTTGGGCAGGTTACTTTGAAAAAGTAATTAGTTATAGTTACTAGTTACTTCTCCCAAAAAGTAACTGAGTTACTCTACAATAAAAGTAACTAGTTGCTAGTAAAGGTAAGTATTGCGTTACTTTTGCGAGTGTATGAAATTAATAACTGAGGATGTCTAATTCTGAAATCCTGTGTTTGGGTTGTTATAGATACTGCAACATGTAGCTATATCTATCCATCCATCCATCCATCCATCCATCCATCCATCCATCCATCCATCCATCCATCCATCCATCCATCCATCCATCCATCCATCCATCCATCCAGATTTCTCCATATAGGCTAACGATCGTTCAGGGCGGCTGTTACGCGCCTTTAGCGAGCATGCGCGTTTCCTGTCGCTTGCGCGGTGAATCGTGCCGCCGCGCTGTGCGGAGATGCAGAGGAAACTGTATCTGATGGGGAAACGCAGAAATCCCTTTACTAAAGCATCAACATCTAACACCTTAAAGGGATAGTTCGGGATTTTTGACATGAATCTGTATGGCATCCCCATCACCAGTGTCATGCAATCACACTGACTTACCCCTGGCAGCATCCTGTGAGCAGAGTTCTCGTCCAGCTTTGGTCAAGCCGAAAGTAGTCCGGCAGGTTTGCTAGACCCAGCGAAATAAAAACGTTTCTCTTCCCAAATCATTATGTGTTCAAAAGAGTGATATTTTTGCATCCCAAAAACATTGTAGTGGAAAAAGTCACACGTCGTTATCACTTGGTCCTATTTTCTCTCTGTTCGTATCAGTGCGCGCGACACCATGACCTGACAGCTAGGCCCTACCTGTTTGATTCGCGATTGTTTACTACTGGGGAAGATGTCTGACTACGAGAGCGACGAGGAAAACATCGACTTCCACTTAGAGCCAAAGGGATATCTTTATAAACCCGAGTACACTGAGGATGAACTTCGACAAATGGAGTTAGATCGGGCAGAAAGAGAGAGGGTGGACAGAGAAGTGATGGAAGCTGAAGCCGGAGCCGCAGGAGCCTCAGCTGGAGCTGCGATATCCTAACCTGACAACAGCCAGATGCATGTCTCGCTCCGCCTAGCTCCGCTCACATACATCTGGGAACCCGCCATAGGAATTGCCTTTACTGAAGGCTGGGCCTTATTAAAACGCCTTGCATATGATTGGATTAGCCACTTGTCTGTCATCTTTATTGACGTGCTATTTAACCACTCACACCGAAGCTAACCCGTGACACTGTGAGAGAAGGAGCCATTTGGTAGATCAAGCTCTTGCCAAATCCGGTCGGGAGAAGGGCGAAAACATAGTTTCCACCAACAAAAGCCTTCAAAGCCGTTCTCTGATGTTCTTTTAATGAAACAATATCAGATAGATTGGACAACACAGAAGAAATAGCAGCATCAATGCTAACGCTTGCTTCCTCAATGCGAGCCGCCATTGTTGTTGGAATCTCACGGTCGCTTCTCCACTCCAGGACACACCCGCCCTGCGTCCTGATTGGACAGACCATAAATTCGGTTGGGGAAATCACTTTCAATGAGCGGGTTCCCAGATGTATGTGAGTGGAGCTGGGCGGAGCGAGACATGCATCTGGCTGTTGTCAGGTTAGCGATATCCAGGGCGGCCGACAAATCATGGTGCACTTGTTTCAAGTACGAATTAATGCAGACAGAGGTGGAATGCTACTGTTGCCACGAGTGGGATTTAGTAATGCCCGAGATACAGAACCTTTCCATTGATGAGGATGTCGGAGTCGCAGCAGCTGCTGTCTGCATTGAAATGAGCTGGAAAAGTTGAGCTCGCTGTCAGAATGACGGCGCGCACTGATACGAACAGAGAGAAAATAGGACCAAGTGATAACGACGTGTGACTTTTTCCACTACAATGTTTTTGGGATGCAAAAATATCACTCTTTTGAACACATAATGTTTTGGGAAGAGAAACGTTTTATTTCGCTGGGTCTAGCAAACCTGCCGGACTACTTTCGGCTTGACCAAAGCTGGACGAGAACTCTGCTCACAGGATGCTGCCAGTCAGTGTGATTGCATGACACTGGTGATGGGGATGCCATACAGATTCATGTCAAAAATCCCGAACTATCCCTTTAAGTCACTGTCTGGAGCAAAAGAGGAAGGATGTGTCACCTCAGTAAGGGGGAGGAAAAGAGGAAGAACATTTTATTTTACGAAACCAGCATCCTGTCTGCTTCCATGCAAAGGTTTTAGTGATCATGAAGGAGAGAAAAATATTCACACACTCCCCCAAGCTGTAAACCGTTATAACATGTAATTCTTTCTGTTCATATAAAGAAGGCCGAACATTCTTTCAAAGTTCGACATAAATTAACGCCTGACTGATAAATGCCCTTTTATAAAGGAATTTGGACTTCAACATATTTTAGGAAGATGAACTGCCTTGTTCAGAGAAATCAATCAAATAGAAAAGCATTTATGAGTCACTTTAAGCTCCAAGATATTCAAGAAAAGATTAGAAAAAAGTTTACAACAAATTAAAATAAGGGAGGAAAGGGCCGACAATATCAAATGTTTTTTGAATCCCAAAACAAATAATTTTCTTTAACAAAAGGAAAAAATAAAAATAGCAATAAACCGTAGTCGTAGTGCCCAATCATCCACTCATTAAGGAGGGCACCACAAAACCCAGAACAACAAAAACACTGCAGGCATCTGCTCCCTCTGGGGAAATATTCATGATAACATAGAAACTCAATAACATTGGAAAGAAGCACTGCTGACGCTCCATCAGGTATATTTACCAAAACATATCTTGGCCATTCTAAAGACCTTATGTGTTCCACAGACATCTACATTCTAAAGACAAAAGATCATTTCACCGTCAGATATGGTGCCAATGTGATGATCTGGGATTCATTGATTTTTAAGCTCAGTCACACTTTGTCCTAGCCTCGTGAGACCATCCTGATCTCGCAAGCTTTCAAGGTTTCACTCGCAGATCAGTCTGGAGACTCTCTGTTGAAGAACATTTGGAGCCGTTCACCAAACGAACGTCCAATCAGCGTTGGCTTTGAGGCGGGTTGAGGTGTGAAGCAACGAGAAGCACGACAGTTCAGTCTAAAGAACATGGCGGCTTCAGCCGATGAAACTAGCGTTATCGGAATTACAGAGTATTTCTTCACTGAAAGAAGAGCAAAACACTGCTCTGGAGGCTTTTCTCAGAGGAAAAGATGTTTTTGCTCTTCTCACGACTGGTTTCAGCAAGAGTAGCCTGGCTTGTGGTTGTGTTTTCGTCGTCCCTCTGTTAGTACGTCATATGCTTCGTTGATCTGATTGGTTTATTTGGCCCGTCTATCACCAACATAGGCCAATCAGCTAACCAGTATTTTCACCCCTTCCCAAAATTACTTCAACAGAAGGTTTCCAGATGGATATGTGGAGCAAATCCATCTGGCGGAGTCAGGTTAACTTTGTCCACCCCCCCAAAAAAACAGCCTAAAGCTCAACATCAGCTCTACCTGTATAGGGCTCCACACCGATGCTAAGGTTTTTAAGTGGCCTAGTCATTCCAAAAAAGTAAAAAAAAAAACAATCTTTTTTTGGAAGGACTATAACCTGGACGTCTGACAATCTTCACCAGCAAGTGGCCTAGTCAAAGTCTGCAACATAAAAATCATTTCATTTAGTCAATTGCTATCATTTCTATCACAGGACTTCACAAAGCATGCCACTTTAAGGCACTTTACAGAGTCAAATGTGGCTTGATTAAAACAGTTAATTAAAAACACAATATCCTAAAACCACCATAGTAAAGCTGAAGACTATTGGCTACTCTCAACACATTTGGCAGCCGGTTATTCGATTTTAGGGCAAAGATTTTTCCTCCCACATAAATGTTTTTTCCTGAAGAACTCTGTTAATATATTAACAAGAATAATGAAGAATTTTCTAAATCGTTTGACTTTTTTTTCTTGCAGGGATGTGATGAAGCTTGGTTCCAGTAAGCCATGGCCTGAAGCCATGGCCATGATCACGGGTCAGTCCAAAATGAGTGCCAAGCCTCTCATGGAGTACTTTAAACCCCTCATTGACTGGCTTCAGGAGGAGAACAACAAGAACAAAGAAGTCCGTGGATGGCCAGAGTATAACTGGAAACCTTCAGGTATGATTAATGCACTCAGACACTTTTTATTCAACCACACAAAGATGCAAGGTGGGTTTTTCTTTTCAGACAGACAGACAGACAAATATAATGTAGGGATGTGTTGGAAGAACTGCATCAATGGTTTTCAAATCTAATTAGGTAGAGCCTTTCTTTGTTTCTTAGGGATTGTCTGTTACTGCGCTGTGGAAAACTCTCAACTTTTTACACAATAATATTTGAAAAACAGAAATCACTATCAATTTTCTTCAGATTTAATGCTGTACCAACATATTACTCTTCTGACGGATCTACTGACATTACAACTAATCAATTCCTCGATACACGCCGGACAATGAAGATATGACAAAAATTTGTACACACATGAAACATACGTTTCTCTCAATAGAGTTTAATAAATTCAAAGGTTTTCAATTTGGAGTATTTATAATTAATATTGTCACAACATTGCAATAATGTTCTTATCTACATACGTTTCTCTCATAAACTAAACACTCCAAATAAACAAATTGCAAAGTGTAATTCTGCAAAAACTAGTAAAAGCTGATTTTTATTACATTCAGTGTGGCAATAACAACTGGGCATTACACATTATAGTGTAAAACTTTTTTAAACTAATCCATTGCTATACTATAAAGCTTCAGTCTTTTACTGCATAGTATACGCGAATGCATTTTAAATCAGTCACACGCCGATGCCTTTAAAATATACAGAAAACCTTTTGGACAACCTTCTTTTTTTTCCACCATTCTTTCAAAATCCGTCGCGATTTCAGCAGAAAACGCCTTAAAATCCAGTACAACGTTTAACCTTTTAGAACCGCTTAAAAGCAGATGCAGCCTTTTGTCTCCATACAAAATAAGTTTATTTTATTTAAATATTCTTATACAAAACAAGTTTATTGTGAGATTGAACTGAAGCCCCATTTAATATTTAGATGTGGCGAACTAAATCTGCCAAAGTTTTGCAGTGTGAGGATAAAGGCGATAGGGATATAGTCCGGTAGCCTAAAGTTAATAGCTCTTTTCCCCCCTCACTTGGCTCCCGAAAGCAGAAACACACAACAAAAACCATTAGGAATTTCACAAGTTATGTGACACTTAGGCTGAGACCGTTCTAATCCCACAAAAAACACATTTTGATCTAAGCAGCTCCAACTTAGCTCTGGCTGTAGTGCTATTCCTCCAGCATATCCCTGTATTAAAGCTGAAGTCCTGTAAGTTTCTATTTCATCCCTACTGACCGCCAGACAGGGAGGTGCTGAAACAGCCAATGAAATGTTACTCCCTGTTTCCGGCGCTAAGCGCATTTACGAGTAATTATACCAACATAGTCCACACCTGTGACAAACACCAGGATGACCACTCCAGAAGCTATCATAGCCTGTGTCATCCATTGCTCTGCTCCTTTTTTCTTCTCGCAAGCGGTTTCGCTTAACTTACCCGTTCGTCTGAAGCCCCTGTCTCCTGACCAGAGTTGCGGTTTATTCTCCGCCCAATCCCAGGGCTGACACACGGGTTGCGATTCTGAAGATTACGGAAGTAAGTGCCTTGTTTGCCTGGTGATGTAGCGTCCGCTGGGCCCCCTCTCACTCCCAGGCTCACGACTTTAGCTTTTTTTACCTACAAGCTTCGTGCTTTTTGTTTCCGAACTGGTGACCTGCAGCGTTTTCGCCACCTACTCCCAGTGTGAATCAACTCACTGCCGAAGTTGATATACGGCTAACGTAGTATAGCTTCCTTTCTAGTTTGTTGGGGTTATACCTGTACGGCGAGCGCGGTTTTTTCATTCGCCCCCTCTCCCAGTAATATTCCTACATTTTGACATCCAATTTTTTCAAAACCGGTCTGGCGCTGCTAGAATTACATGACGGGCCGCAGGTTTTCGCCCCCGCTCTCCCAACCCAAGTGGGGCCTACTTCGTGGCCGAAGTTTGGAGACGGCTAACGTTGTTAAGCCTTTTTTTTCTGGTTTGTTTGCAGCATTCATCATCGTCTGCACATAATTATAAATGGTGACGGCAAGCGTTTTCGCCCCCTCTATCCACAGTACACAACCCTTTTTTTTGCAGCCTTTCGTATGTCCTGCACCTCTTAATTTGGTGACGGCAGCCGTTTATCGCTCCCCTACTCCCTACACTTTAGTGCCATAACGCTAACGTTGTTACACTTTTTTTTTTTGTTTATTGCTTTTATACGCTGGTTACGGTAAGCGGTTCCCCGCCCCCTCTCCAACCGTATCGTGTCCAGCCACTTGTGTCCGCAGCCTCTCTGTTGTTATCCGCTAATAAATTGGGTGACGGCAGCGTTGTACGCTTCCTACTATCCAACTTAAGTATTCCATACAGCTAACGTTGTTAGCTTTTTTTGGCGTTATTGGGTTTTATACCTGGTGACGGTACAGCGTTCTCAGGCACCCCACACTCCCAGTATTCGCTGGCATTGTGCTCGCAGCCGTCTTTCGTTTCTCCTGGCTGTAAATATTATGGGGTTGACGGCTCTTGCGTTTGCCCCCCTCCCGATTTTTCGATAACTTTCTGTTCTTTAAGCCTTGACGGCCTTCGAACATGGAGGCTCTCACAGCTCGCATACAGATTGTGGGCTGCCTCTGCAGGCAGAGGATGGCTCACGACCTGTGCCCCCTTTTTTAAACCGCCTTGGACAAAAGCACCTTTTGGAGCGCTGTCTGAGAACCCCTGTATGAACATGCAGCTTTATGCCCCATGCCGTGAGGGTGGCCCCGTTGGCCCAGTTGGATCGCCCCCCAGCTGGAGGGATCACGGACCCTTCCGCCCTCTGGGCAAAGGCAGGGTTCCCCCCCCACAAGCGTTCTAAAGCGCCAGTGGTGGGACACAGCTTCTGTGCCCTCTTCCCCACCGAGGAAAGCGGCGGCACAAACCTGACCAGAGGCCTGTCCACTATAAAAGGTGGAGCAATTTGTTCAGTCAGAGCTGGCACAATGATGAAGTCCTTGTTGCAGACACGGCAATCTGAATCCTCGCTCACCAGTGGTTTGGGACACACACTCTTCTCCCCACCGAATGACCCGAGCTGGTTGTAGAGGACGACGTTATCTCGGGCTGCCTCCCGTCCCGCTACTCATTTTAAGATGAGGAGGAGGCAGGGTCCTCTCAGCCTCTGAGGCTGGTTCATTTTCATCCTCACAGTGGCGCGGTTGGGAGAGTGCGCGTGGAACGGTTCCATGCGGGAGGTCATGTCTATGGCCCGAAGCAAGCTGCAGCTCGGAACTCCACAAGGAGAGGCTATCCAGCTCTAGGCAGTGGCTTTTTTCCAGAAAGCACTTGGGAAGGGCTCCCTCACTCCTTTTTTCTGTACCTCCATCCAGAAGAGTAACCTGAAGGCAGTTACAACCACGCCTGGGGCCTGTTGGACACTGAACCAAGAGAGCGCATCTGCGTCTCTCCTCGATGGTCGTGTAATTAGCTGCCATGCATGAGTCAGAGGAAAGGCCGGCCTGGACCGTACCACAATTGAACCCCAGCTGTTCTTCACTGATGTGTCACCGAGATGAAGCCCTGCGTCCTGATTGTCCGGTGCGCTCGCGGACCTCAATGTCGGGAGTTTTACATGATGACCTCCCTCTGTAAGGGACGTACAATGCAGGAGCCGACGGTGCATGGCCGCCTTGCTAATCTCCCTGGGTGCACCTCATTTTATTTAGCCCTGTCAGCAACCTGTTGCAGGACACTTGGTGGTGCAAGTGCGGCGATTGTTATAGTGTCGCAGCGCTGGCAGGGCCTTCGCGCTGATGACCAGAGAGCTTGAACGGTGTCAACAGTCTTTCCTGTCACAAGCTCGTAGACCGTCTGTTTTTGCACAGTCTCCTCATGACAGAACATGCGCCGTACGGACCCACAAGGGGTGTCCACCGTTGTACCAGGGGCAAGCTCGTTTGGCATCTAGACTGCCTTCGGAGGCGCTGGAGCGAACGGACAGCTCAGGCATCGATCACAGCTATCCCAGCACGCTTTCCGGCCTCGCAGGAGCAACCTTACCTGCCTTTCCCCAGCGTTCACGGTGCCGCCCTGCCACTACCCCAGCGTTCGAGCCCCACGACCTCAAACTGAGTGGCAGACACAGTGGTTCTCATCCCACACACACACACACACACACACAAGAGACCGAGAAGGACTTTCGTGAGCCAGTCCTGCCCAAGGCCCTGTTTAGACAGACCCGGGCCTCAAATCCTGGACGCGCCACTCACCCCCAGAGCCCCCAGGAGGTCCGTGGGGAATAGAAGATGATGCCACCGAATTGCCGACCGTGCGGACACAGTTTTCCCATCAGGAGCTGAATTTCTGGGCTGCTCATAGCCCGTAGATCCATGGGTGGTTGGCCACCATCTCAAACCAATGGCTACAGGCTCCAGTTCCGACGGCGGCCCCCCCTCTCAACATTCGGGTCAAGACACATACTGGTCAATCACAGACCCGGTGAAATCTCAGTCACTAGACCATGAGCTTTCCGCCATCTCCTGTGGCAAGGGGGCAATCGATGTCTGTACAGAATCTCTGGCAGCAACCCGTAGGCTACTACTCCACATAACTTCCTATGTGGCCAAGAAGATCGCACGCGGTTTTCCCCCATTTTAGATCTAAGGGGGATACGAATCGTTACCTGAAGGTCCGTCCCTTCCACATTGCTCACCATAACAGAAGGTCCTTCAGACCATTGTTGGCGGGAGATTTTACAATCCAGTAAGGATCCTGACAGACTCCTACTTTCACTGCCTATACAGCGGCAGAAAGCAAATCGCCTGCGTTTTCTTCAAGGTTCGGCCTATTCGGGGGCCGCCATGGCAAATTCCGGTGCTCCCATTCGGGCTCTCCCTTCAACACCCAGGCAGTACTTTACTCGATGCGTGAAAGCAGCCCCTCTCCTTCTAGCAGGCCGTCCGGAGTCACAGGATTGCTGCCCATACCTAGGAACGATTGCTTCTTTGCTGCTCCCTCTCAGGTAAGCTGCCTCTCGGCTATACGTCCCAGCTTCTACTTCATTTGTCAATGTTAGCCACTCGGAAGTCAACCTGGCAAAGAGTTGATCTGTTCCCATCATCAAGACAACCACCTTTCTTGGGATGCATCTGGACTCTGCTCAACCATGATGGCCCCGTCCATCGTGTTCACTGAGGGTGGAACGACGATAACTCCAGCTTGTCCGTACGATTCGACTGGGCAGGGAGTTTCCCTACATCACCTACCTGCGAATGGCTCGGGTCAAAACTGACATCAGTCACAATCGTGTCGTGCTCCTTAGGGCTGCTCCTTCTGTGTCCTTTGCAGCGATGGCTCAACAGACATTTCGCCTAGACGTCCAGGCTCGCACAGTCATCGATGCTAATGGTGACGCAGGAGCAGCCTCCATGAGCCCAGCTCCTTGGCGAGACGACCCTTTTGTCCGTGGTGTCTTCCAAAGGTGAGTGCTAGTAGTAGTAGTCGAAGGGGAGGTGGTTCACCACTGATGCCAGCCTCATGGCTAGGCGGTTGCAGTGTAGGCATACACAGACGTTCGAGTCTCTGGGACCCAAGGTAGCGCAACACGTAACACAATAAATGTGCTGTGGAGCAATAGCGGGCTGTGCACCATGGGCCCTCAGGTGCCTTCGGCCCCACACCTAGAGGAAGGAAGGAACTTGCTGATTCGCTACAGACAACACCTCTGTTTTTATCAATAATAAACCACCACAGGGTGGCACCAAGTTCAGCACGTCTCTGAAGGTGTCGAAGGGATCTTCCATGAATTGAGGGCGTATCCCGTCATGTGGTACCCTGCGCAGCGAGCGTATCTGCCAGGAGCGGCAGAAACCAGGTTGGCGGACATCTCTATCCCGCCAGGCCCTGCTCAGGAGAGTGGTCTCTCACCATCCACAGACGTAGTGGCGCATAATCTGGAACCTCATTGGGCAAGGCAGAAGGTAGATCTGTTCGCCACACAGAGGAGTCGACCCCTTGCCCCCTATGGCTAGATTCCCACAACCGGGATGGCGGCGCACTGGGCAGGATGCACTGGCTCAAGTCCATGGCCGCCAGAGGTTCTCCTGTATGCTTTCACGACCCCTCTCACATAGGTTTGGCCGACTCTACGGAGGGTTCTCGAGCAGGGCCACAGAGTGTTGCTGGTAGCTCCGTTCTGGCCAGGCGCGGCCGTGGTTCCCCTGTATTGGAGTCATCTCTTGTGTCACGGGTAACTCCATGCGGCGTCTTCCACAAGGAGGGATCTGCTGTCCCTCAGTTGGGGGGAGACAGATATAGGGCACCCCAACCCTCAACGTCTCCCAGCCTGTGGGAAATGCCTCTGGGAGGCTGACATGGGTGTTCAGACACCGTGAGACACAGCGCGTATTGAGTGCTAAGGAGGCTTCCACCCACTCGGCAGCAGTATCTAACAGTATGGCGCCTAACTTTTCTAGTGGGTGGCTCGCCTGCCCACAATGAGAACACCGCTTCTCCCTTTTCCTGCTTCGTGCCATAAAACACTATTTTACGCGCGGAGTCACTCACTCCATCTCTCCTTGATAAGGGCCGCTCCTCCTCCCATCGACCTTAAAGTGTATGTTGCAAGCAATTTCAGTCTTCACCGACACTGTTTGACAACCGTACCAGATGGGGTGCGCCATGAACTGGTTTCATTTTTTTCTCTCGTGGTGCTCGTAGGTTGTGCCAGGCGCCAGCCCAGGAGCCCCAAGTTGGGATCTGCCATTGGTTATCACAGCTCTGTGCCACCCTCCAATCGAGCCTTGGCACAGCAGAACTCAAGGTGGCTTTTCCTGCAAGGCGCTTTCCTGATCGGCTATCGTCCTCAGCTGAAGGGGTCAGCGAGCTACATGCTCTTTCTGTCAGCCCTAGGTGGATCAGGTGGAATCCAGATGGCTCTGGTGTTACCCTTGGCCTAATACTGCGTTTGTGCCTAAGGTGTATGTCCCTCCTTTTCAACGTAACCAAGCCATTGCGGCTCGGTCTTTCAAAGCCTCAATCTGGTACACACTGCGAATGAAGTCGGAGTTTTTGTGCCCAGTAAGAGCTTGAGGCATACATTTTGCTGCCACCAGCCAATCTGATACGCTCGGCACCAGCTTTTTACCTATGTCTATGGGACCAAGTTAGGCTGTCCTCTTTCTAAACAGAGCGTCTGTCCCATTGGGATTGTGAGTGTCATACTGCCACGCCTACGCTGCACAGGTCACGCTCCCTGCCCAGTTCCGGTGTGAGAGCACATTCCACAGAGCGTCACCGCTTCCTGGCTTGCTTTTGAGAAGGGGTTCCGTCTGAACTAAATGAGCTCGCTGCTTCATGGCTTCCCCCAACCACCTCACCAGGGTTCTACAGTGTCATGGGCTGCCCCTCATCCCCCTGGGTCAGGTCCCTTTTACAAAGTTCTGCTGGGCCACCCTCTGTGAGGTATTGCTCAGGATTCCTTGTGACATCGTTGGCATTAGTCAGTCAGTGCTTTCAGCACCGGCCCTCTGGCGGTCAGTAGGATGAAATAGAAAACGAAAGTTACGTATTAACTAAGGTTCTATGAATCCCGGATGACCGCCAGAGCTTCTCTGTCACTCGAGAATCCTAGCTTTTGCGAGAAGATTCGTAGGAGCAGAGCAAAGATGACACCATGGCTATATAGCTTTCTGAGTTGTCATCCGTGTCACATGGTGTGACACTGTTTTGTATAATACTTCGAACTGCGCATGCCCAAGGGAACATTCAGTGCTTTCAGCACAACCGCCCTCTGGCGGTCATATCCGGGATTCATAGAACCGTAGTTACATTACGTAACTTTCGTTTTAAAAATCACTTTATTGTCATATTGCTAAAACTGTCCCTACTGCCCAGACAGTCATTACATGTGATATGTAACCTGTGAAAAAAACTACTTCAAATGTCCCCGCATACAGCATCTATTCAATCTGGAAAGAAGAATTCGGGATGATCAAAACAACCAATCACAGCAAGGAGCGTTCTGATTGGAGTGTCAATCACAGCTCACCATAACGCTTATTCCCGCCCCCCCCCCCCCCCCCCCCCCCCCCCCCCTTCTGGTCGCATGCTGTAGCCGCGCAGATGCTGTGAGGAGGGGGTGGAGCTTGGAGGTTAGGGCATGAGTTGAAGCAGAGAGGGTGGGGGAGTGGAGGTGAAACCCAGTTTTTCCTTAAAATTTTCAGGTCGAAGTTCTGCTCACCATCCTCATGGTTACAGACTGCAGCTTTAAGAGCTCTTATCTAATGGTTAACTTGATTTTCCACAGCATTATGCTCCCTCCAGACCATTTCTCTCTCTCCGATGGGGGATGTGAAATTCATCACTGCATGGGTAACATCGGTAATTGTCATCTTCCCTTGCACGAGTGTTTAGCATGGAACCTCATGGAAGCCAGGTTGTTTGAACTCTAGCTGTACAGTCTATATGACGTTAGTCCAAACACTGAAACTTTAATGTAACTTCATTATGTTTAACAACACAAAAAAAAATTCCTGATGTTTGTCTCAAGGTGGAGAGGCAGATCCCGTTCCTTTCCTTGTTTTCTTCTCTTAGCACACAGCAACAAAGATCCTCTAAATGTTGGTATTAAACTGTACAGTTCACTGCTAAAAATTAAAATCTGAATAAGTCCATTTTTTCTTAAAAAATAAGTGTTTACTAATATGCGTTTTTTGCGGGCATTGAAGGAGGTGTTCCTCTTTGCCAATGAGGGACCAAAGATAAATATAACAATTTATAAATAATAAAAAACATTTACCATTGCCTTATTTCATAATGCATTTAATCTAATTGAACCTACTCATTTAAGAGGAAGAATATTCATTCCATTGGCAAACTCATCTTATGGAATTTATTTTTATGTTTTGAGCTTTTCATAAACCGACAAAATACTGGGTGCGTTTTTTTTATGAGACCTGATAAGTGCTAGATCTGAGCTGGAGAGGTGTGAAAGTTTCCTCAATAAACTAGTAACACTAGTCTAAAAGTGCTTTGTTGAAACATCTTAGATGCTCTTAATCCAGTCATCACTTTAAGGACAAGAAACTCTTTTTCTAAGTTTTTTTTAAATCTAATAATAATCGGATAGCAAAAGGTTCTTGAAGGAAGACTTTTTATATAATCAAACCAGGTGAAACTAAAACTTTTCCACCTGAGGAGTCCTGGATAGAGAATATTGACAGACCAAAATGTCTTTTTTTTTTTTAACGATTAATATTTGCCTGTACATATGTTTATTTACAATTTTGGTGTAATTGCTGCTCTAAGTTGTCAGTGGGAAAAGGGCTCTGTCAGCTAAAGACACGTTTTACTTTCTTATACTCAATACATCCATTATCTGACACGCTTCTTTGAGATTGTTTAAGGCCTTAGTTTGTTCTTTGCAAGAACTCCAACTCAAACAGATTAACCATCTCCATACAGCAGAGAATGTGATACTTGACAATCTAGAAAATAACCCTATAAAAAGCTGTTCCTCCTTCATTCAATTCAAATCAATTCAGTTTATTTCTATAGCGCCAAATTCACAACACATGTCATCTCAAGGCACTTTACAGTTCAACCAGATCATACAGTGAAATTGATACAAAGTTTTCTATCTAAGGAAAACCCAGCTGATTGCATCGACTCATTGACTCAAATACAATCCCTCACACTAAGCATGCTTGTAGCGACAGTGGAGAGGAAAAACTCCCTTTTAACAGAATTCTTATCTTTGTGTATGCTTTTCAGAACCTGATGCTGAGGTCGTGGTGAATGATGGTAAGGTGGAGTTCCTGGGACTGAGGGTGAACCAGGGCGCTGCCAAAGCTGGCCAGTGGCTACTGCTCTCCATCAGCCTTGTTTTCTTGCTGGTCATCCTTCTCCTCGCCTACAGATACAGAAAGTCAAAAAAGAGCGGAAAGTCCCTCTCCATGATGGAGCTAAAGAACAAGGATTGAATGTTGTGTTAATTCTGGCAGATTTATTGTAGCTACCACAAAACCAACCTCAATGTGAACAACTGCATCATGTCGGAGCACATTTTCTAATCAACCGTTCGGTTTTAAATTTTTGCCTCTTTCACACTGAATGTCAGAAATCCCTATTTCCTGAAAAGCAACACTTTGCAAATCTACATAAACCAGAACTTGTATCAAATGTTCCTGTTTAAATGTAATATTTAGGAAACATGTTTAATAAAAAAAAAAATCAAATGTTTTACTGATGGTTTTAAATGTGTTATAATGGCAACCTTTTTTTGTAATATGGTGTAATTAGTGGAAGATGTATAGATTTGATTTTTCCATTTTATTTTATAATTCTGGAATAGCTGGAATAAGATGAGTATTAACGGAGGGCCATACATTTTTAACACTCCTAAGATATATCTTAGAAATACATGCATATGATATCTTAGATAAACACACACACACACACACACATATATATATATATATATATATATATATATGTAAGTTTTGAGTGTGTTGTCAGTTATATAAAAATGGCAGATCATTTCTTAGATTTTTTGTCGCAAAAATATAAGTAGACAGCTATGAAGGACCAGTCATGCCATAACAAAAAAAATGTAATAAAAAAAAACATAGAATTTAAAGTATTTGATAAAAAAAATCTTAATCTGTTATATTTACTGAGCGCACTTAGATTTAATAACATTTGCTTTGTTTTCTGAAAATGCAAAACAAATTGTAATTTATTTTTAATATATATATATATATAAGTTTAAAAGAGGAAATTTTTTTATAAAATGTATGTTTATTGTGTAAACATGTTTTAATATCTAATTTTACTTCCTTTGTATATCTGTAATGAAAAAAAGATTCAATTCTGCCTTGTTTGCTTAAATAATTAATAAATGTTCTTCTTTTTGAAAACAATTTATTTCAGCTGCGTCCATGATACAAAAAACTATGGAAGCCCGTTTCCGCCACTCTGTAAAAAAAAAAAAAAAAAAAACTATCTCAATATGAGATAGTAACTCAATATAATGAGATAATATCTCATTATAATGAGATATTATCTCAATATGAGATAATATCATTATAATGAGATAGTAACTCAATATAATGGGATAGGATCTCATTATAATGAGATATTATCTCAATATGAGATAATATCATTATAATGAGATAGTAACTCAATATAATGAGATAGTATCTAGTAGAATTCAATTCAATTCAGTTTATATATATAGCGCCAAATTCACAACACATGTCATCTCAAGGCACTTTACAGTTCAACCAGATCATACAGTCAAATCGATACAAAGTTTTCTATCCAAGGAAAACCAGTTGATTGCATTGACTCATTGACTCAAATACAATCCCCCACACTAAGCATGCTTGTAGCGACAGTGGAGAGGAAAAACTCCCTTTTAACAGGAAGAAACCTCCAGCAGAACCAGGCTCAGTGTGAGCGACCATCTGCTGAGGCCGACTGGGGTTCAAGGAGACAGAAGCAGAGATACAAAAAGCAGCTGTAAAAGGCGGCCCCGTCCAGGAAACACACAGCCAGGCAGACGAGCTCCGAGCCAGCTCCCATGCCAGAGGATGAAGAGAGCACATCCAGCCAGTCACAGTCAGAGAAACAGGACCACACTGGAAAACAGGCCGATCTCCAACATCTATAAACAAGGGTGTTGATGGAAGCAGCACAGCTGATGTTTCTTTCCAGGATGACGTCACAGCCAAACAGGAACAGACGAGGCAAAGCTACTCTGAGGAAAAGCAGAGAGAGCAGAAGGTTAGAGATTGAACTAACAGATTCTGCAGAATAGGAGAACAGAGAGAGAATGAAGCAGAATGATGAAATGGGGGTCCCTATGTCCTCCAGCAGTCTAAGCCTATAGCAGCATAACTATAGAGATAGCTCAGGATAACCTGAGCCACTCTAACTATAAGCTTTATCAAAAAGGAAAGTTTTAAGCCTAGCCTTAAAAGTAGACAGGGTGTCTGCCTCACGGACTAAAACTGGTAGTTGGTTCCACAGGAGAGGAGCCTAATAACTAAAAGATCTGCCTCCCATTCTACTTTTAGAAATTCTAGGAACCACTAGTAAACCTGCAGATTGAGAGCGAAGTGCTCTGTTAGGAACATAAGGAACAATCAGATCTCTGATATAAGATGGAGCTTGGCCATTTAAGGCTTTATATGTGAGAAGGAGGATTTTAAATTCTATTCTTGATTTAACAGGAAGCCAATGAAGAGAAGCCAGGATAGGAGAGATATGATCTCTCTTTTTCATTTTCATTAGAACTCTGGCTGCAGCATTTTGGATCAGCTGAAGGCTTTTAACTACAGTTTGTGGACTTCCTGATAGTAAAGAATTACAATAGTCCAGCCTTGAAGTAACAAATGCATGGACTAGTTTCTCAGCATCACCCCTGGACAGGATATTTCTCATTTTTGCAATGTTCCTCAGATGAAAGAAGGAAATTCTAGAAACCTCTTTGATATGGGATTTAAATGACAGGTCCTGATCAAAAATAACACCAAGATTTTTTACTTTATTATCTGAAATCAGTTTAATCCCATCCAAATGAAGTGACTGGCTAATCAGTTTCTTTTTCAGAGACTCTGGTCCAAAGACTATAACTTCTGTTTTGTCTGCATTCAGAAGCAGAAAGTTAAGAGTCATCCAGGTTTTTATGTCTTCAAGACATGCCTGTAATCTATGTAATGGGTTAGCTTCATCTGGATTTATAGACAGATATAGCTGGGTATCATCAGCAAAACAGTGGAAATTAATCCCATGCTGTCTAATAATTCTACCAATTGGGAGCATGTATAAAGTAAAGAGAATTGGTCCTAGCACTGATCCCTGTGGTACTCCGCAGTAACCTTTGAGCATGTTGAAGATTTATCATTAACATGAACAAACTGAATTCGATCAGATAGATCAGATTTAAACCAGTCTAGTGCTGTTCCTTTAATTCCAACAAAATATTCAAGTCTTTCTAAAAGAATATTATGGTCAACTGTATCAAATGCAGCACTGAGATCCAACAGGACGAGCACAGATACAAGTCCATTATCTGAGGCCATGAGAATATCATTAGTGACTTTCACCAGAGCTGTTTCAGTGCTATGATGAGCTCTAAAGCCAGACTGAAACTCTTCAAAAAGTTCATTATGGTGTAAGTGATCGCAAACTTGTTTTGCAACTACTTTCTCAAGAATTTTGGATAAGAAAGGAAGATTGGATATAGGTCTATAATTGACCAAGTCATCTGGTTCAAGAGACGGTTTCTTAAGCAGAGGTTTAATTACAGCAACCTTAAAAGCTTTAGGTACATATCCTGATACACACTGATTTTGGGTCAATAGGTCACATGACCTATTGACGCAAAATCACTTGGAAATTGTTCTACTAGTCTCTGTAGATGGGGCACACTCACTTGATTTTCATTTTAACTCTTTTTTTTTATTTTGTACCAATTTTTTTTAGTTAAAATTGAGTATTTTTGGTCAATAGCTCCCAGGTCATGTGACCTATTGACCCAAAATCAGTGTGAAATTGTTCTACTAGTCTCTGTAGATGGGGCACACTCATTTGTTTTGCATTTTAACTCTTTTTTTATTTTTTACCACATATGGACACCTTTATGCTTGAACATGGTGTTCGTTATGGACAATTCATGACGAGCACAGAAGTCCAACAACAGAACACCACTCGAGTTCAGATCGGGGAGACCATTCCTCCCAACCACGCCCCTCCAGGTCTCACTGTCATTGCCCACGTGAGCGTTGAAGTCTCCCAGCAGAACAAGGGAGTCCCCAGGAGGGGCACCCTCCAGTTCTCCCTCTAAGGACTCCAAGAAGGGTGGGTAATCTGAACTGTTGTAAGGCCCGTTAGCACAGACAACAGTCAGAACCCGTCCCCCCACCCTTAGGCGGAGCCCTCTCGTTCACCGGGATGAACCCCAACGTACAGGCGCCGAGATGGGGGGCAACAAGTATGCCCACTCCTGCCCAGCGCCTCTCACTGTGGGCAACTCCAGAGTGGAAGTATGTCCAGCCCCTCTCAAAGAGACTGGTTCCAGAACCAGAACCATACGTCGAGGTGAGACAGACTATTTCTAGCCAGAACCTCTCAGCCTCACACACTAGCTCCGGTCCCTTCCCACCAGCGAGGTGACATTCCACATCCCAAGAGCCAGCTTCTGCAGCCGAGGATCGGAACACCAGGGTCCCCTCCCCCGGCCAACACACATTGCATACGACCCTTATAGCCCCTCTCACGGGTGGGGGGCCCATGTAAGGGGGGACCCAACAATTCACACTGATTTTGGGTCAATAGGTCACATGACCTGGGAGCTATTGAAGAAAAATACTCAATTTTAACTTAAAAAATTGCTAAAAAATAAAAAAAGAGTTAAAATGCAAAACAAATAAGTGTGCCCCATCTACAGAGACTAGTAGAACAATTTCACACTGATTTTGGGTCAATAGGGCACATGACCTGGGAGCTATTGACCAAAAATACTAAATTTTAACTAAAACAATTGGTAGAAAAAAAAAAAAAGAGTTAAAATGAAAATCAAATGAGTGTGCCCCATCTACAGAGACTAGTAGAACAATTTCACACTGATTTTGCATCAATAGGTCACATGACCTGGGAGCTATTGAGCAAAAATACTCAATTTTAACTTAAAAAATTGGTTAAAAAAATAAATTATATATATATAAATTATTATATTGAGATACTATCTCATTATAATGAGATACTATCTCATTATATTGAGTTACTATCTCATTATATTGAGTTACTATCTCATTATAATGAGATACTATCTCATTATATTGAGTTACTATCTCATTATTAAGCTTCTTGCTTCCTGTTTGGATTAACTGAGTGTGCAACTGAGTGTGCAGCTGTTCAGAGGATCTCCATCTGAAGTTAAGTTATTTTCTCTGTGATATCTCTGTATCTAAGTAACTCTAACTGACTACTTTAAAACATAGCACCTTCTGCTGCACTTTTCTACTGAGCACTTGTCAGTTTCACACGGTTTTATTTCTGATAGCAAGAAGTAGCTAGCCTAGGCTAGCGCTAGCTTAGCATTGCTATGGCTTCTCTCTCTCCCTCCCTTGACTCTTTTCCAACTCTTCCTTCTTCCTCTCCTCTCTCCTGCTCTCTGTGTCAGATGTTCAGTTATTCCTCTGCCTCCTTTAGTGATAATGGGATGT